AATGTCTCGTGCCTTTATGTTTGTTTCTCTATAAGCCTTGATCACTTTTTGCCTATATTATTTTGTAGCTAGCTAGCTTTATTTTCTGATTCAAGTCTTTGTTTTTGTAGAAGTTGAGTAAAATCAACAAACTTCAACTGTACTCTCCACTCTCCACTTGGAGGAAAAATGATTCTAGTGGGGATAGTTTGGTTTTGCTGAAGAAGACAGTCTATTTTGGTTTATACTGAAAAGGACAGTTTATTGAATTTTTCAATAAACCAAATTATTCGTACTAGGATTACTAGTCATTGTCATTGGACAAGTCATTGGCTAAAAGCAATTGAACTTGAAGAGATAACAACAAAGTATATATTATGTTTCATAAGGCGTTCATATATGTCTATAAAAACCAATATTATCCTCCTTCTGAAAAAATCCACTCGCTTCTCCTTCTTTTCCTCTAATAATATTTCTCTCTGTGTTTAATTCTTTTTTTTTCTGTGTTTAATTCTTCATTTCGGTTTGAGATTCCACATACGAGAAATGGCCTTGATCAACTGCCTCCGACGCTTGGCTCATACCAGTCAGGTTTCTTACGTTTCTCTCCTTTTTCAGTAGAACGTTAATTTGGATGCCAAAAATTGGAAAGTGAATTTATGTTGTATAACCTAAATAGTAATATTAAACCCTTTAAGGGGGAGAATCTTGTTCGAGTACCAACGACAAGAAGGAGACTGAATTAAACTAACATGTTTTGGTCTCCGGTCCGAAGAGATTAAAAATAAGCCTAAGGCTCGAATATCTTAGTTTTTTGTTTTCGAATTTCTTTTTTTTGTTTTCGAATTTCTTAGTTACCAAAAACAAAAGAAAAAATAGTGAAGTTGTTCATAGCTCAGTGCTAATATATATCTTCCCCCTCATGGCAGGTTACTTTGCAGAAAAGGTACGTTGCTTCTGTCAAATGCATGCATGGGAACATTACCTCGAGGATATTCACTACAGATGCATCATCAAAGAAGCAAAATTCAGTTGGGTGAGTTTCATAGTAATTTTGTTTTAGAGAAATTTGGTGATAGGACTATGAAATGGTCTATAATTAATGGAAGGGAATGACCAACTATTCAAGTAATTAGACACAATAGTCAATACACATTTTATCCTTTGTTCGAAAAGTAAATATATACTGTAATAGGACACTCAATTATAATGGTGAAAAAATGCCAAAAAAGAAAGAAGAAGATACGTTTTAATATTTTGTTTGAAAAGTAATAAATTATAGGGCCCATAGGCCACTAAATTGTAATGGGGAAAAATGCCAAACAAATACCAAACTCCTACTCTCTCTCTCTCTCTCTCTCAATCTATACAGTTGAATTTTATCTTTTAGTATAGAAATCTTGCTTCCAATATTTCTCATAGAAGTTCAAAGAAGAAAATATAGAATATAACATTAGGTTCCATGAATAACATTAGTATGTTTTATCAATAGAATATCAGTAAATCTATTTAAAAGTATATATGTATAAAATAGAATTATATATATATATATAATTGTGTTATCAGTCCCAAGAATTTTTCGTCTATCCATACACCGAAATGGTCAATTCCCCTAATTGTGTCACTTATGATGCTAGTTTCTTAATTCTTAATTATGTTCTATGTTTTTGCCAACACAAATGCCACTGAATGCTTTACGAGTTTGTGAATAGTGCAACTGTTTTTCTTACAGGTATAAGGGTCATAGTATGCTTGCACCTTTTACAGCTGGGTGGCAGAGTGCTGATTTAGATCCGTTGATCATAGCAAAATCCGAAGTGATACTTCTTTTGATAGACCATAATAAATTGTAAATGTTGCCACTTGATACAAACAAGTGTGACAATTTTTCTTTCATCCTTCTTAATTTTTTTTACAGGGGAGTTATGTGTATGATATCCATGGGAAAAAGTATCTTGATTCTCTCGCTGGTCTTTGGTGTACAGCCTTGGGTTATTCCTCATTTATCCTTCTATTACTACACATGTCTTGATGTGTAAGGTTTTTTTGGGGGGTTTGCTTGATGTGCAAGTTATGTGATTGATACCACAAAATCTTGCAGGAGGAAATGAGCCACGGCTTGTTTCTGCTGCGGTTTCACAATTGAACACCTTGCCGTTTTACCACTCCTTTTGGAACTTTACTACTAAACCTTCTCTGGTAGTCAATAGTTTTTCGTTTTGGGTGCCATTATGCTAATTTGTTTCTTTGTTGAGTTTGGTCACTGTGATGTGTTTTTCTTGTAAAAAAACAGGATCTTGCTAAGGAACTTTTAGACATGTTCACTGCCAACAAAATGACCAAAGCATTTTTTACAAACAGTGGATCAGAGGCTAATGACACCCAGGTTTCCATATATTTAACTCTATCCTAAACTGTTTATCCTAGAGGAATTAAAGATTCGTTTCATATTCAGAAAATTACTTTTTCTTCTTGTTTCGATTAACTATTTGTCTCTAGCTCTGATATCCTCTAATGATGTTTGTAAATCTATTATTATATTTAATGCAGGTCAAGCTGGTTTGGTATTACAATAACGCACTTGGAAGGCCTGAGAAGAAGAAAAATTATCGCAAGAAGCACATCGTGAGGGAAAAAAAAAATTGTGCTGATATGCTTTGAACCTAGAGAAATATCCCTAAAATAGCACAAAAAATAGTTCTTGTTCTCATTTTCGCCACTATAGTATTTTCAAGTGATCTTCCACAGGTCACAATTAATATATACTATCCATGGACGTAGTTAACACAACTTTGGTCATGAAAATATAAAATATGTCTACAGTTTTTTGGTTGATATTCGTTTTCTCACATCCACCATAACAATTTGTCTGTTTCCATTAGATTTTAAAATAAAGTGCTTATATATGAATTCAGGTACCATGGCTCTACTTTGGTGTCAGCAAGTTTGTCTGGGTAAAGATATCTATTGTTCCTCAGTTAAATCTTCCAAGAAGTGCTAATTCAAAAAACAAAAAACCAAAAATTCTAACAAATTTCATACATTGTTCCAGAATTCCAGGGATGCATCAAAAATTTGATTTACCGGCACCATTTATGTTATACACGGATTGTCCTCATTACTGGCGTTATCATCTTCCAGGTTAATTCGTTTTTTCAAAAAAAAAGTCAAAATAAAGTAATCTTTTTATTTTATATCATGCAAACTGTTTATGCAGGTGAATCGGAAGAGGAGTTCTCAACCAGATTAGCCAAGAATTTAGAAGATCTTATCATCAAAGAAGGACCAGAAACTGTAAACATTCTATTAAATACTTTTGGTCTTTATGCGTTTGTGTTGATGTTGGAATCTCAATTTAACACAAATGTCTTCTTAGTAGATTGGTGCTTTTATCGCTGAACCACTCATGGGTGCTGGTGGTGTGATACCTCCACCTGCTACCTACTTTGAAAAGGTCATTTTCCAAAACTTTCATAATAGATAGCATGAATTATGCGGTTTAGTGGTTAGATCGATGTGGATTAGGATCGTATACTCTTATCAAAGTGTGTTTCTTTTTGCTCTTTTTATGTTGTTGCAGGTCCAAGCTGTTGTTAAGAAATATGATATCCTGTTTATTGCTGATGAGGTACATGTATAAAAAATGTTACTATATATCAGTCCACACACAGAATCATCATCATATTAATTAAAACTCTAGAATCTATTAAAGAAGAGAAGATATCATTAGACAATTTGTATATTGTTTGGACTATAAGGTGATATGTGCATTTGGAAGGCTCGGGACAATGTTTGGCTGTGACAAATACAACATCAAGCCAGATCTTGTTTCCTTCGCTAAGGTCAGATTTTGCAAGATGATTAGTAGATTTTACAAAATTTCTCTCCGGGGCATAGATTGAAATGTTATTGATATGCAGGCATTGTCCTCAGCATATGTGCCGATTGGAGCCGTTCTTATGAGTCAAGAAGTGTCAGATGTCATTTACTCCCAAAGCAACAAGATAGGTACTTTTTTAGTAATGTTATATCTAAAAATGTTCTGATCTTACAATGCTTAAATAAAACTTTGTTATTTTCAGGTATTTTCGCACATGGGTTTACTTATTCTGGTCATCCAGTTTCCTGTGCTGTAGCAATTGAAGCGTTAAAGATATATAAGTAAGTTTAAACTGTAATTTGTCAAGAACTCATAGCAGTTGATAAGAGTATTATCCCACTACTGTTTACTCTTATCTGAAATTTCTTGACGAGAAATTCATATTACAGGGAAAGGAACATACCAGAGCATGTAGACAGAGTTGCCTCAAGGTTTCAAGATGGTCTTAAAGCTTTCTCCAGTAGTCCTATTGTTGGAGAGGTACCATTTCTTTTAAAGTCACATTTTTTCTTCTTCTTTTGAAGTAGCATTTGAGTATTCTGTGAATGGTTTTCAGATAAGAGGAACGGGTTTGATTCTCGCGACTGAGTTTACAGAAAACAAATCTCCAAATGAACCATTTCCACCTGAATGGGGTAAAGTAGCAACTCTTCTCTAAACCCTCTTATACTCTACTTGAAGGCCGTGTTCGAATGCTCTACTTGCACAAGTTAAAAGATCACGGTCTCATATTACACTTTCTTTCTTTTTTTTTGTATTGATGTTTATAGGTGTTGGGGAATACTTTGCAGCCGAGTGCCAGAAGCATGGGATGATAGTCCGCGTTGCAGGTGATGCCATAATGATGTGTCCACCGCTCATTATCTCACCTGAAGAGATCGATGAGGTAAAGTACAGATCTTGAGACGTTTTTGATCTGCTAAATCTTTGTGTTCGTTTCTCTCTGAAACTCTCTTCTTTGGTTTTTATGATTTTGCAGTTGATTTCTATCTACGGGAAGGCATTGAAAGCAACGGAAGAGAGGGTCGATGAACTCAAGACTCAGCAAAAGAAGTGAGAAGCAAAGCTCTGATGAAGTGGTTTAGAGATTCTTCTCCCATCTCCTCTCCCTGGAACATTTCAGTTATATTGCATAATAAAGTTTCCAACTTTAAAAACCCATTTACTCAAAGATTGGATCTTTTCTTTTGAATGCACACAAGCTTTAGTTATTTTGCAGTCTACTTGATGGAAACAGAGACAACAGTGGGACTTCTCACTATGTGATCAGAACCATATGACCAACCAAAATCAAAGATGGCTTTTGAATGCACACAAGCCTTAGTTTTCTCTCCACTCTCCATTGCTATTTTTTGGGGATTTTTCAAGATCGAGGACGTTTCTTATTTGCCTCTCTTCTCGATCTTCTCTCTCTCGAACTTAGTGAAGTCTTGAACCCTGCTCCGTCTCCATTCTCTGAGTCGTACAAATCTTTAAACGATTTCTGCACAATTCAAAATCCATCAATCGAACCTAGAATATTGTCTTGATGAGGTTTCTACTCAGAGAAATTGGAATAGAAGAGAAAGAAGTTGTTTTGGGAAAAACGACCAACCTCTCTGATCTCGGCGAAGCTAACGACGTAGAAAGTAACGACGGAGACTGCGAGAATCCCCAGGACAGGAAGACCGATGTGGCTAAGCCCATCCATTTCTCTTCTCTGAACAGACCAGAAACCAAACGTATCTTCTACTCTCTTTAAGGATAAGGCTCTTTATATATGTAAATGTGCGTTCTTGAAAACCACACAACCTTAACCATACATTATTAACGAATTAAAGACAATTGTAAACCCGATTTAACAACCTCAAAAAGTGTCTGAATCTAAACTCGATTTTTCACTAATTTATTTTCAAGAATCAAGATCACCCCATGTCCAAAAAAAATCCATCAAGACCATATCTAGAGAAGAGATAATATAAAAGGGTATTTGTGTAACATTTGAATAGTCTGGAGATTAGACAAACCCTGAAAATTAATAACAATCAACATCTTTGAATGGTATTTGTCCTCACTAACATATAGAGAAATGCATGCTGAGTGATAATTAGTTTATGGGATACAGCTTAAATTGGTAACTGGTAAAGACTCCTATTGAATACAAATCAAACCCTAGAGGAAAATCACAATTTTTTTTTTGTCCAAATCAAACACTATGATTACAGAAAGAGGTCTTCTTAGTGAGTTCACGTGAACAGCTTCTCTGATATGTTTGTGTAATAACCTTCATCACTCACTTCTTTTTCTCCCTTGAATATCTCAGCATCATCAAAACCTGTTCACATTTCATTAAAAAGCCTTTGTTTACACAATTAACGTATAACAACTTCTCACACCATTATTCAATCTCCAATAAAAAACTAGATTGTGTGAAGCTTTTTACCTGAGCCCAAGTCTTCTGTTTCATCGATAACCGCTACTTCTTCTGTCCTCTTTATGGACTCCAGTGACTTCCAGTCTGAGCTTCCATTTCCTTCTATACAGACTTGGTTTCTGGAAACCCAGTATTCAAGAAGTTCCATGTTGCTGTGTGATAACGGGTCTACATTATCATCTCCGCTTTCAACGCCCCTGAAGGAGACAGAGAAAACCCTTTAGTTCTGTCTTGAACAGACATGGTGTTGTAATCGAGAAGAAGCAAAAGATTTCAACTTACAGTCGTCTGAGGCGCATGTTGTACTGAACAAACACAAGATCGCTAAGCCGTTGCCGCTCAATAGAGTTCTTCGATTCAAAAACTTGCTCGACTGGTGTCAGGTTTCTCCCGGAGCCAATCAATGAGCTGCATGTCTGACTCAGAATGCGTATGGCAAAACGTGACAGGTTCAAGCAACTTTCTCCATATGTAGACCACCATTCAGCTAAAAGAAATCAAACATGTTTTAAGTACTTACGAAAACACTTTAACATACGAGTCTTATTTCAGATTTAATGAATTACGAATATAATATGGCATATACCAGGAAGCATTGTGTCCCGAGCTCTGATTGCTAAGTTCCTCCCGAAAATCCCAACAGCATTCTTGTATGAGTTTATGTCCTTAACGATAATATCTTGAACGTTGTCGTCAGGGACCAACTTCTCTATGCAATCAACCACCGCTAAATGGATCTCACTACGCATTTCTTCGTCGATGCTATAGAAGAACTTCGGGTTAAGATAGAAACCAGCAGCATGCAAAGGAAGACGGTGTTGTTGCAACCACCACCTGTCTATAATTTTCCAGTAGATTATGTAATCCTCCCTGTGAACAAGATGAGTCTTAATCGCTTCCTTTGCTCGATACAGTGCAGCATAGACATACCCCATTGCAGGCCTCTTTTCAGAACAAACTATCCTCAAAACTCTCAAGAGAGGAACTGTTATATGGTTCGCCAATGTTAACGCCTTCCAGAAACTCTCATCATTGATAGTCTCAGTCATTGCCAATCCACCTGCTTCCTTCGAATACGAACAATCATTCCACTCGGACGAAGTAACCATGGCCTGCAAATGAGGTTTCAGATCCACGATTCTTGCTATCGTTGCGAAATTAGTAGCGGAACTTGTGAAGGCTGGCTGCAGAATATCATTGCCAAAAGTGAATTTCCTCATCAGATTCAAGACACCACTGTGATTGTAGATAATTCTTGTGACGGTTCGAGCTTGCTCGATGATTTCGCTTATCCAATCAATCTTCCCAAACTCTTCCAGCATCTTGTCTAAGCAATGTGCAGCACAAGGAACCCAGTACAGAGTCCGATACACAGACATCAGCTGTTTCCCAGCAGCGACGTAATGATCATCACATTTGGTAATAACCTGCACAACATTGGTGTCACCAACTTCTTCAACCACCTCCTTAAGTAACTCATAGAGTTTATCAGCAGAAGCTAGTATCTCCGACGCGTCAACGGATTTCAAAAACACTACTTTCTCCGAGCAGTAAACCAAGAAATTAAGAACCTTAGTGCCTTTCTCGGAGCTCGATTCCTGTACTAAAACAGAACAGCCTGTCTTCTTCCACAGAGACTTGCACTCATCGATCTCTTTCTTCATTTCCTCAACGCAGCTCTTCAAAATCCAGCCTCTGAGGTCTTCATTTGCAGGCAGAGAAACACCAAACCCTCCAGAGACAATCGCATCGATAAACGGCTGGAAATTCACAGAGCTCACAGCATCAAAATCAGCTCCAATATCGAACAAAAACCTTCCAATCGCCATATGAACTGTCTTCTCCCTATCTTTCGAGGACGGATGCACAATGTTCTTCACGCTACTAATAGCCACAGGGATCAAATTCTCCATGTCTCGACCCATCAAGTCACTGATATCGCTCGCACCACCAACCTCAACATTAGCCAAATCGTTTCTCTCAAAAGCATTACTACTACTCTTCCTACTCCGATAAGTCCTCTGCTTCGTCCTCCCCGTGCTCTGACCAGCCACCAAATCCGGAGATTTGAATCCGTTGTTCGCGTCGGAAGAAACAACGACCTGTGTCTCTCCTTCACAAGGAGGGAAGTAAGCTATAGGCAGAGGCTCAGGGCTAGTTTTTCGCCTCTTCCTCTGACGTCTCACGGTGCCATCAATGCATTGTTGCAAGAAGAGACGGACCTCTTCGGGGACTTGGTCGCAGATCGTGCCTTGTCCCTTTTTACCGGCGAGATGTTCTTTGACTCTGGTGATACCACCTCCTTTGAACATCTTCTTACAGTAGAGACATCTCATCTGAACTCGATCTCCGTATTTGTAAACCTCACAGTGTTTCCATGCACTGTCTTGTTTCTGAGGTGTGAGAGCTACAGGCTCCAAATCCGAATCCATTCTCAAACAGAGAGAGAGAGCCTACAAAAGAAGAAATCCAGAAATTTTACATTGCTGATTCAACCTCTAAAAACCCTAGATCCTCCAATTAACGTTTACAAGATCAAATTAGCTGCAGGAAAAATATCTCGAGTTTCGCAGGGAAGATGTTCATAATTCAAAAAACGGATCGGATTTAAAAACGCGAAATTCTAAAACCCAGGTGGTGCACCAAAATCTCAACCGAATTACAAAACCGGTAAATTTCTTCGTCTATCGTAAGAACAAAGACGAAGAAGAATTAAACGAACCTTTATTGGTTTGCAGGTTGTGACCGGGTTGGTTACGCGAGAATCGGTTCGGTAAAAACTTGATTAAATTACGGTACAGAGACTTCGGTTCCGGGGAAGACGAAGATGGAATCAGGCGGAGGAGAAGAGACGGAGGAACGGCGGAGGAGAATCTGAGGATGACGAAGAAATGCAATGTCTGGGAAATTTTTGAGATGACCCGGCTCGTTTAGGGTTCGAGAGGAAGAAAGTTTGGGCAGCTTTTTCTGGTTTATAAAAACGACAAGTTTATTTATTTTTATTTTCTTGTGACGTCTTTTCTTAAAGAAAAATCCTTTATTTGGTTGGCTAAACTTGTTTTATTTTTGGTTTGCGTAGCTGAATCCGTTTTAGTTCGAGGACTGAATTGTTAAATAAATAAAGTCTAAGGTCTGATAAGATGATAAGTAACTTTATGTGGGGCATTTTCTAATTAATTTTTTCCTTACAAAAATAATTGGATAAAAACCTTAAAAAATACCTCAAGTTTATAACTTTTGTCAGAAAAATACCCAAACTATTTACGCTTCCTTTTTAATATCTGACATTTGGCTGACTACCTCTTTAATACTCGAAAGTTCAAAAATCGTAAGTTTCACTACCAGTTTTTAATCACGATTAATTGTTAAACGGAGACTGTGATACGGCATTAAAAAAATTAAACATGTGGGTTTAACTCTAACCCAAAAAGACAAAAAAAACTGCCTGAACATACATATCATATCCTCTTCCCACGTTCTTCCCCAAATCAAAACATAAACCCTAAATCGATTTTTCCTTCACTTCACATCTTCGCTTTTATCTCAGCTCTGTTCGCTTTTATTGGCCAGTCTCTCGCACCAATCAATGGAAAACTCATCATCATCTGCTAACTCGTTCAACGATGGATACACCCAGATGGAAAATCCGATTTGTCGCTGCAGGAAAGTGACGACCATGGCGAAATCATGGACTGATGAAAACCCAGGAAGAAAGTTTTACAAATGTGATACACATGGGTTTCTTTGTTGGGCTGACAAGGAAAAGCCGTTTGGATGGCAGAAGATTAGCTTGCTTGAGGCGAGAGATCAGATTAGGCAACAAAAAGAACAACTCAAGGAGCTTAACGAGTCTCTCCGAGCATGCAATGACAAAGATCTGAATGGAGCTGATTCAGGTATGATGAATTTGGAGATGTTTGAGAAAATTGCAGAAGAGAAGAGAAAACTTGAAATTGAAGCGATGGCCTCAAAAGAGAAGGAAAAGCTTTTACGCCAATTCATTGTGATATCCTGGGGAGGATTCATTGTTGTCACAGCGATGATCCTAACAATGGCTAAGAAGTAGATGCGATTGTCTTTGTTGTAATGTTGTTATTTTGCTTGTTGTTATTTTGCTTGTACTCTCATATGTTGCTTGTTGTCTCACTTCTTGTCATTGTTGTTCTGTTTTTGGATCAATGAAGATAAGTTTTGGAGTTATGCTTTCATTTTGTTCAACTCAGTTTATGACATACTAAGAAATACCCAAATGCTAATGTGCTTACATAACAATTGTAGCAAACTACAACAACAGTCTAACACCAAAAGAAACAAAAAGCATATTGTAGTTGAGAAAGCACACACAAAAGTACTAAAACAGTAAGCAATTCAAGAGTCTCGGTGATCATAAGGACCCATAACTTCAGTTGCAATTGAGCCCCACACGTCAAAAACTCGACCAGTGAAAGGTGAGATGTAGCATCCATATCCCCTTGGAATCGGAGGCTCACGGCCACGTCCACGGCCAGTTCCACGTCCACGGCCACGTCCACGTCCACGTCCACGGCCAGTTGATGCAGTTGGGATTGGAGCACTTGATGGCTGCGGATCGACTGATTCCTGTGTGGAATTCACTGATGGTTGTGATGGTTGTGTAGAACTCTGGCCAGTCCTCCTTCTTTTTGGTGCGTTTTGAATGCTCCATGCATCATCCTCCTATTACACAATTACGAACACAATCACCAACCTATACCGTACCATACAAAACAATCACCTATCACATAATTACATACCTGTATCTTTTTAGGCCTTCCCCTTTTCCGTTTAGGACCTGTTTCCACATAAGTAGCATTCTTACAAGTTCCTTTGTTATGACCTGTTTGCTTACAATTGCTGCATGTTACAACCCTTCCTTCTCGAGTAGCCTTCGTCGGATTTGAAGATGACTCATGAGGCTCCTTTATCCGATCATGCTTCTTTGGACGGCCAGGCATTCTCCTTTTCTCAGGTACAAGAATGGGAGCTTTGCCCGTCTTTTCCCAGAATTTCTCACCATTAACCGGTTTGATGTTGTCTCTATAAGTGTCATGCCACTTCGAAATAAGGTAGTATTCATCCACATAACTACAAAACATGGAAAAGGAGACTCGGTTAAGCATACAATATAAATAAAAAAGAATATAAATGGCCACGGCCAAAAGAACTTACTCTTCAGGGTCACGGTTAAAGTCAGAGATGACATGAATAGTATGCCTACACGGTATTCCAGTGATATTCCATGTGTTACATGCGCAGTGCTTATGTAGCAGATTAACCTCGTAGCTACAATCATTCTGAACCACTTCAAACAAATTTTCACTGCTATGGAGCACCGTATAGGTCTCACTATGAACACGGTTTTCCTCAAAAATCTCCATAATATTAGGTGGAAACCTGCTATCACATTTCCCTGTCATTTCTTTCCTCCTGCTCGTACGCTTCATTGCTTGCCTCCTAATCTCTTCAAGCATGTTAATCAGTGGCAGTTTTCTGGCATCTTTGATGGTCCTGTTGAAACTTTCTGACAGATTGTTACAAACATCATCACATCTTGCTTGCGGACTGAAAAATGCTCTGCACCATGCCTTTGGTTCTGTTTTGAATAAATCCTTACACGCTACAGGATCAAACTGCTCCAAAGCACTTTTGTTGTAAACGAACTCACCAAGTGATGAGCTTTTAGCGATTGCCCAGAAGTAGTTTTCATACTCTACCATCCCATAAACCTTTTTCCAATTCGCAAAAATGTGTCTAGCACAATGCCTGTGCTCAGCTTCTGGCAAGAGATCCGCAACCGCATTTATCAACCCTTTCTATTTGTCTGAAATGATACTATAACCACTCCCCAATCCTAAATCCAAATCTGCCTGAAGCTTACCAACAAACCAAGCCCATGATTCATTATCCTCAACTCTTACTACAGCCCACGCAAAAGGGACAATCCTATTGTCAGCATCTCTTCCAACAGCTGCTAGAATCTCGCCTTTGAGCTCCCATTTCATAAAAGCTCCATCAAGACCAATAATTGGTCGACAGTTTCTTTTCCAATTATTCCGCAGATTAGCAAAACTAATATAGAATCTGTCGAACACATATTTACCATCAGGACGAGAGATGGTCACAATCTCTGTTGACACATCATTAGAACGCCTTAACTCCTGCTCATAATCCCAAAGCTTCGCAAACTGTTCTTTATGAGTTTCAATGACCATATCTAGTGCTAATCTTCTAGCTTTAGTACATATCCACTTAGAGACGGATAGATTGTACCTGATCATGATCTCATCCTTGATGTCAGTCCACTTTATACCCAGTCTTCGTCTTGCTTCGTCTTTAAAAAGCATTGCTATTGTACCCTGCTTCAACATCCTAGCCTTGCTACTCTTCATGTAGTTATGCTTGCCTTGATAAGTTTTAACCATCCACAACCCTTTCCCTTTCTCCACCGAGCAGTAGATCCTCCACTTACAACCCTTTTTAGCACATATTGCAGCATACTTGTTCTTATCCCATTTGTTTTGGTAGATATCGTAGTTTGTCTTCAGAACATATCTCAACAACTGCTCTTTAAATTCATCACCGCTCTTGAAAGTCTGCAGTAACCAAAAGTATGGAGGCCGCTCCTTACTGTAATGCTTCCTTGCATTATCTCTTTCTACTCTATTGAATCCTTCCCACTCGTCGTCTGTATCTTCCGCTGGATCTGGATGTTCAGCATCCCTACATTGTCTCTCGAACTCAGCCTCAGCATCACCATCTGCGTTTGGTGCACTGTGCTCATCTTCAGGACTACTCTCATTCTGATCAGCATTTTCATCTTCTCCAATACTATCATTCACCTCACCTAACCCAGCATTATCTCCATCATCACCTAACTCAGCATTATCTCCATCCTCACCTAACTCAGCATTATCTCCATTTTCCATTTCTGCCATGAAAGATTGAAATCTCTCATCATCGGCTCTTTCTTCTACAACTTCTTCTCCTGCTGCGAAGTCATCTGAGTGTGGATCTTCATGAGCTTTATCATCTTCAACATCATCACCATCAGACTCGCCTCCTTTGTCCTCTTTTCCCTGATACAATACAAGAGCTTGACTCACGCTTCCTTCATTCTCTCTTTCCTCGTTCTCGACAGGCTGAGGAAGTACACATTTCTCAATGTATACATCAACTTCACCACCTACACTAGCTTCAGCACACATCTGCATTAACTCTGCATCAGAAGAGAGGTAAAATATAGGTCTCGCTGAGTCTACAGTCTCGTTCGACAGCTTGTACCATACTAGTTCCACCTTGCCGCCCGGTCCTGTGTCTTCTTTGTCGCAAAAATCATCGAAGATGCTCCAAGTCAGAAAATCTGGGTCGACAACTAATCCCTCCTTCACCGAACCTCCTACGTATACCCGCTTAGAATCTTTGATGTACATAAGCCCTCCATAATGCAAATTAATTTTTATGGTGTCACTGCATTATCGAAAGAGAAGCAAGATGTCACTCAAAAAATCTCATAACTAATCGAAACACGAAATTGATAAACAAACCAACTAAGCTTCATACTCGACACAAATATCCACACTAGACAGCCCAAATGCAGTGAATTTAGAAACCTTACCTCATTTTTCGAGTCTCGCAAATCACTGTCTCATATGGTTATACGAAATCGACGTGAAGACGCAGATCGCTTTCGAAGAGAAATAGCGATACGAGAGAGTAAAGAGTACGGGTTTTTCGATTAGCGATTTGTTGGATTTGAATTGGGGAAAATCGATTTGGGGAAATCGATTTAGGGTTTATGTTTTGATTTGGGGAAGAACGTGGGAAGAGAATACAATACGTATGTCCAGGCAGGTTTTTTTGTTTTTTTGGGTTAGAGTTAAACCCACGTGTTTAATTTTTTTAACGCCGTATCACAGTCTCCGTTTAACAATTAATCGTGATTAAAAACTGGTAGTGAAACTTACGATTTTTGAATTTTCGAGTATTAAAGAGACAATCAGACAAATATCAGATATTAAAAAGGAAGCGTAAATAGTTTGGGTATTTTTCTGGCAAAATTTATAAACTTGAGGTATTTTTAAGGTTTTTTCCCAAAATAATTTGGGTAACTATAGAAGAACACTGGATGATTTGGATATGGCCTTTACAGAATCTAGAGAAAATTTATTTATTATTATATTTTCTTAACGTCACTGAAATTTAACTAATCAAGCCCACTTTATAAGTCCAATTCTGAATGCACTTAACGATCGATCTTCTTCTTCCTTCCCCCATTATTCCATCTTCTCGAATGTCTTGAATTCCCTAAATTAGGGTTTCTTATTAGCAGATCTCTTTTGTTAAATCAAAGTGAACAAGGATGAGAAAAACAAAATTCAACTCTAGCGACTGCATCGATGTAAGGGAAATGCTAAGAAATTTTAATGAAAAGAGTACCTCATAAACGAGCTAACGAGTTCTTCTTCGTCTCTGATTGTTGATGTTGAACACCATGGAGAACCAATGCGGTTTGCAGGAGAGCATGAAGTATCCAATGGTCAATCCAAGCACGATTCCAGGTGTGAAACCTATGGCAGCTGCAATCCAGCTCACGAATTCTTCTTCCTCTTCTTCATTATCTTCATCTTCTTGTCGTGAATGTAGCGGGTCATGGACAGTTCCACACTCATCGAGAGGAAGACCACAAAGTCCTATGTGAATGATAGGTTGGATTTGTTGGTAAGTTGGTAAGGTGCGCGAGATCAGGAGGTATCTGGCCTGAGAGCTTGTTGTGCGATAGGTCTAGTGACTCGAGCTGAGTGAAATTCGCCATAGATGAAGGGATGTTGCCAGTGAAGCCGTTGCTTGACAGATTAAGCACGATAAGACCTTTTTAGTAGACCAATGGATTCAGGGATTTCTCCTCTGAGTCTGTTTCACGAGAGATCAATTGCTGTGAAGACTGTAAGGATCCTGTCGTAGCGCATCTCTATTCCTTTATTTGTGAAGACCATTGAGTCCTGGTAATAACTATAGTCTCCAATGTACTTCAATTCCGAACGATCTCCCTCCGAGTGCATCGCACTCCAATACATGAAGAACTCAGACGGTAAAGTTCCCGTGAAGGCATTATTATGTGATATGTCAATGACTCGCAGCTGAGGAAACCAAGAAGCAACTCGGGGATGATACTGTAATGACCCATGAAACTCATTAGAGCGGAGGATCAGCACTTGTAGGTTATTTTTGCTCAGATTTATCACCTTCATCTGCATTCTCGAGAGATCTTTTGGGAATTCTTTGAAACCGCTGAATCTGTTGTTGGAAAGATTAACATGATACAACTCTGGTAGCCTCGATAACCAACCGGGCACTTGACCTTTGATTTTGTAAATTAGAAAGGTCTAACCAACTCAAATGTTGTTGGGTTCTTATGAACTCTGGAAACCCTGTGATATTGCAGTCGGACAAGATCAACACTTGCATTTGCGCTGAAAGCATAGAAACTGAACTCATGTCTTCTGGTGAAATGTGGTTGCCGGTAAGATCCAAATACGACAGCGACTTGAGATGCGAGGATAGAGATGCATTCAAACCAATAAACCGAATCCAATGAAGGAATGGTAAAGATAGTAGAAGGGAGAGTCCCAACAAGATTATTATAACCAAAGGTCGAGAATGTTGAGACGGGAAAGGTTTCCAACTGATGAAGGAATCGAGCCACCTAGTTTATTAGAAGAAAGGATTAGAGAGGTGAGATGAGAAAGACTTGCAATTGCAGATGGAATCTTCCCTGTTAATTCGGAAACGTAAAATCTCAAAACTTTCAAGTGTTCGAGGTTGCCGATGGAGTCTGGTATGTTACTTGAAAGAGATGTTTTAGAGGGGTCCAAATATACAAGACTAGAGTTATTTCCATTGAATTCTGGGAGAGTTGAATTAAGATCTGGATTGTAACCCAAATCAATGGATTGAATAGTAGGACTGAGAAGAACACTCCGAGGAAGTCTACCAAATAACTGGCAATCACGAAGGTGGATTGACCTTAGAGAGGTTAGGTTTGAGATTATCTGGGGAATTTCTGCGGAAATGTTTACGTAGCTCATATGAAGATGTTCAAGGTTTGTTAAGTTCCGTGCAAGTTGATGAAGAAATGACTTTTCAGTAATAACAGATTCTGAAAAAAAACGTAAAAGAAGAAGAAAGATCGAGAGATACCAACTTGGTAAGATGAAGAATCTCTGGTGGAATCTGACCTGAAAACGAAGAGTGAGAGAAGTTAAGTCTTTCTAACTCCATGAGTTTGTTGAGCCTAGTTGGGACTGGAGAGGCATTGAAATTATTGTAAGCAAGGTTTAGATTTCGGAGTTGTCGCAACCTAAAAAGACTGCTATTGGGTTTGAAATGGCCATAGAGACAGCTGCAACTAAGGTCTATCCCAATCACCTCACCGGACTTTGCATCACAAGTGATACCGTCCCAAGAACAACAATCACTCTTATTAGCCCATGATTTTGTCTTTGGATAGGAAGTGGCATCAGCCCACGTCAGACTACCATCAAGTATAGACTCATTAAGAAACTTAGGAGGGTTGCGAAGCTCAAACTCGTTTTTGAATTCGAGAAGTGCGTCCCTTTGGTTGGGAAGACACCGTGTGTAAGAGAAGCACAAGTGTATAAGAAACTTGGAATAGAGAAGAAGAGAAGAAGGATGGTGCAAAGAAAGAAGCTCATTGAGTTGGATCTTATCATCCTCTCTTAAATTCAATACACTTTTTTCGTTTTTTTGTCTCTTTTGTGGTAAGTGGTGATATTGTTATGTGACCTTATCACTCTATATATATACACAAGTAACATGCATTGTTCTTAGTATGAACACATATCACATTATTTAATGACATTCTTTACAAATAGGTATTAATTGCTGTTAAAAACGTTTATCAAGTCGTTCGCTATTTCCTAAAAGGCGAAAGCAATACATATAACTTTAAAATTGTTCGTACTATGTTGAGGGCTTTTTTCATGTTAAGGGGTTTTCTCATTAATACAACTAAACAAACAAAATGTCATAAGAAAAAAGAGTGGGAACACAAAGATTGTCTCAATGAAATTAAAGAAACTTATTATTGTGTTTGTTCTTTCATCTATTTGGGGAAGACAATGGCTTGTGTAGCTTTGCAGCTGCCTCTCTACATTTGGATATGAATGCCATCTAAGTCTTTCTCAATGACTAATTGATCTTTGCCTTTTTATCATCAGAAAACGTTTTCCTCATGTCTTTTTTTTGTACTTTTTATGTTCGTTCAGGTTGGAAATAGAAAACAGAAGAAAGGGAGAAACTTGAAAAAGGAAACAAGAGATATGAACATAGCTTACATCGTGAAAAATGGAGAGAAGTTATCAAGGTGATTAGGTTCAACTTCAGTTTCAGACAATTATTTCTCTTCTTAAACTATACATCATCACCATCTTCTTAACTTCTAAATTCAGGTATGAGCAGAAGACATTTGATTCCAATTGAACAAACACAACAATACCGGAAATACTGATAAGACTAGAGCCATAAACAATGATCTTTTGGCATTTCAAAGGAGATGAGAAAGATATGATCTCCTCAGAAAATTCTGGTTCAGCTGGTTATTAAGATCTCTTAAACCATAAAGTGAAGAGTGACAACTTGATGCATGCTCTTATGATTCTAATATGGTCCCAAATGCAAGGACATAGACTACGTTGGCATTACACAGAACATGAATCCACTCTAACAAACCATTTACCTGATTGATTCATAACAGTTGAAAAAAAAATGAATTCAGAAAAAAAAGCCACTTCAATACCAAAACCATCACGGTGACACTGGAAAATCTAATCTTGCAGAACATTTCTAGAATATAATTAAATACTAACGCACAAAGCTAATTCAGCTATTAAACCACTGATGACATAAATTAAGGCAAAATCCAGAATCATTTTCAAACCAAAGGTCTTAAACCATACAAAAAAGTAGATTATAAATTCGATAGTAAAAGAAGACATTTAACCAACGGAAAATGAAACTCGGTTCTCAGAACCTGAGCTTGGTGAAGAACCACCTGTTCTTTCCGGTCTTGAAACGCTCCTCGAGCTTAGCCTTAGCCTCCTTAAGAGCAGCGACCTTCTTGTCCTTAGACTGGAGAGCATCGAGAGTCGCAACTTCCTTCAGATCCACGTCGAGTGTGTAACGAGTAGGCATCAGATGCTGGTAATTCACGAGCTTGATGAAGCACTTGACCCTCGATTTCTTCGCCGTCTTCTTTGCGGAGTCCTTGCGGATGACTTTGCTCGGATACTTCTTGAGTCCGGCGACGAGACAGTGTCCGTACGGGCGCTCGCGGTTTCCGTCGTCGAACGAACGGATGATCACGGCCTTCTTCCCAGCATAACGACCTTGGAGGAGGATCACCGCCTTGTTCTGCTTCAAAAACTTAACCATGGCTTCTCAACCTCTTCCGGCGTAAAACCCTAATTTCAGAGACGGAAGACGATAACTAATAGGTTTTGAGTTTTTATATAGTGTGCTAAGAAAAAACCCTAAAGGCAAAGGCGTTGCATCTAATTCGACCCATATAAAATGGGCTGGGCCAAACACACAAATTTCAGAAATTTCACTTAATAGAAAAGATTTTGTTTTACAAAATTAAGGTCAAAATATTAAAATTCAAAAAATACTAAACTTTAAAATGAAAAACTGAGGTAATACGTTAATTAGAAAATTAGAATGAAAAAAATGGTATCTTTTAATATAATAGGAATATGAATTCTATGGCCATAAACCATAGGGTATAAACTAAGAGCTTCTCAAGCTCAACAAACAAATACGAGATAGAATGTAATAATAGCATAGCAGATCGAATAATAAAGGAAACTCTTTCATTTACAAATTGTGTTGCTAAGTATTCTTTAATGCCAAACCGAGTAAAACCCTTTTACTGAGGTTGATTTATCATCATTATAATATTTGATTAGAGAAATGAAAATTGTTGTTGAGCAACAAAAAAAAAAACAGGAAGATCGAAGATGGACCATGCATGTGCCCGTGTCCCATTTGTATATATGGAGTTTAAAATTGAACATTTGAACTAAATGTTTCTGTAACTTCCACATAAAAACCTGAAGAAGTTTGATAAGTGAAAATCAATCAGCTTGATATTTATGGTTGTTATCATAAATCATTGTGTTTACTTATCCATTTGATACTATTATACATGCTACCATGCATGATTTAGAGCATCTGCATGGGAAGTTTCTCAATAAATCTTTCACCATTAAAAAAATGAAAAATAATAAAATATGAAAAGAAAGAATAGAAATAGTCTCTTACTTGAGAGATTTTGAGATAATAATTGAGAGACTCTCAATTTTTATGTTTGATTATTAGGTTTAATTTTTTTTAATTAAAATTTAACTAAACATTTAATTTTTTATTGAAATATTAATATTATTTTGATGAAAAATTCAAAATAGATCTCTCGCCAAATGGTCTTAAAGCTTGGTCTTAAAGCTTTATACGCTATTCGACAAACCAAACCAAAGTCACTGACAAATGCTTGAGGAATCGAAACACATCCCTTCGTTATTAATTGATGGTGCGATGAACTGATCATAATTCACTTAAATATATATAATCACTTGTAAAACATAACAACAACAAGTCAACAACACATAGCAGACAGAGAGTAATTAATAAAGCAACATAATCATCGAGTTTTTCTTATTACAACAATATATTTGGATGAAATCGGTAATCCCGAAGTCTCAGAAGCATGCATCCAGGACACAGCAGCAGCATATGGCAGCACAACTGCATAAAGACAAGACACGACATAAATCAATGCTAGTCCCTTTTTTATTTCCTTCTTCAGAATTTATGTGTAGGGAAATATGAGTTTATAATATACTTAGCATAGTAAAATTTCTGAAAAACTAAACACAGATAAATTTTATTTTAGCGACGTACGTAACATTCCATAGTTGCTCAGTTGAGAAAAAAAATTTTGAGCTGATAACTTTGAAGTCGAGTTGTTTTAAAACAAAATTTTGCCAGAAAAGACCAGTATATAAATTAATTTCATAAACTAAAAATGTTGAAAAATATTAGCTATAACGTTGACCCTTATTTTTTGAAGCACTTTTGACAGATTGTTACCAAAAAATTGCAATACGAGTTGAGTTTGTAAACAGTATTTACTACTAAAATTCGAATTACTATATACCTCATAAAACTTTTTAAAGGTATACTGAAATCTCAAAAAAATTTGATTCATATCATCCAAAAAATAAGCGCTATATGAATATTTTGCACAAGATTAATGGATGATTAGAAACAAACCATATATATATATATACATATATATATATAAGTAAACTGAAAGAAATATATACCATCCTTTCCAAAACCCATCGCCCTTGGACTTGGTCTCCACTGTGGCTGCCGGAGGATCACCCGCCACCGTGTCTCTGGTCGGATAACCAATCGGTGGTGGACTTGTGTACGTTCCCTGTGAAGGTTTCTCCACTACGACTAAAATAGATCATTAAATCACATATCTCATAATTTTTCTCCAAAACAAACAAAATTACATATCTTTTTTTTTTTGATCAAAACAAAAATTACATATCTAATTGGTGTTTATAGAATAATTGTTGGATACGGATTTCTATATTGAATTAAAAAGAATTTATTGAAGAATTCGGAGGATTACCTGGAGGTTGATTTTGATCGGATGGATTCATTCTGACTAAATGATAAGTAAAGAGCTGAGGATTATTATGAAAAGGAGAGAGTGTTGTGGTTTTAATTTAAAGAAGACGAATATTATGAAGTTTTATAATAATAAAAATAAATTCTAAGCGTTGGTGATGTATATATAGATAGAGACTGTCTGACTGTGATGCGGACGACAAACTAAAGCAGGTATGGACTTGTTAAGATTATTGGAGTGGTTGATTATTCAATTAAGTCATCCTTTATATGAAAGTTTATTGCCTAATACAGAATCTTATGATATCTTAACAATATTTAATGGTATATTTTACACTATGAAGCTTTTTTCAAAGCTTTCAACTTTTATCAAATTACAAGTAGTTACAAATTTATATGCTAAAACATAAATAATATAGTGTTTTTAATACTTGTGCTTATATTAGTAGTATCAACAATTCTTTTAATCAAATAAGAATTCAATTTTGTCTTGTCTTTGACAACCAAATACTGTACAAACGACGTCGCCTTTAAACAACAAACATCTACAACCCTTTTATCAAAAAAACTGCAATGGTCCTTTAAAGTACGCGTCAACTACTATTTGAAATTTCTAAGTACAGAAAATTCGGTATTCACTTATAGATGCAAAGTTATATGCTACTAGAGCTCAATTTTGACTACGCAGCATCAAAACATAGATTATCATTCATTGAGATATGGCTGCTAACATATTAAGTTTTTGTTTGTTTAAAAGTCCTCTAAATACTCCTATTAGTGTATTAGTTAAGATGTCGTGTGCTAAAAGCATAAAAGTAAATAGTTTGTTTTCAAATTCAAAAGAGTAATCACATAGTATGATGTTGGAATGATGTAGTACTAGTTTTAAGTTTTAATGTTCTAAAAGAGCGCAGAGAAGTTTATGATTGGACCACTATATATTGAAGATTCGCGTTTTGTTTAATTTTTGGTGCCGTGATCCTTGATTTATATGTAACAATGTTTTTGATTTTTTTTTTAGTTCTTTCTTAAAGTAATTTTGGAATCTAATATCGATGACTTTCTTGCTTCTCGTTGATTATATGAACCAGTTACATATGCTTTGTTCAATTCAAAAAAGAACTAAATATGCTTTATACAAGTTTGTCTAGTTATCGATATATTTTTATAATTCGTTAAGTTTTTTTTTTTTTTTTAATAATTCGTTAAGTTAGGAATCCATTATGAGTATATTACGTGACATAGGTCGTTAAATCTATTTTTTTTTTTTTTAATGCTTTCCTTTTATTCCATTGCTCTTTCCCGAAAGGGACAACATTTTGAACGATTACAAACGAAGCAATGAAACGAGCAAGATACTAATCTGCTAAAAACTAGAAACTCATGTGAAGTAACCATTTGGGGGTGAAAATCATCAACCGATTTAATCTTCAAAACCGAGCACAAGACTAGGTTTGAATAAATCGATACCAGTTATAGATGAAAGATTCTGAGGAGTTCTGGGATTGGGATCTTGACTGGGCACGAGAAAGAAGAAGATGACGATCCATTCCTGCCAACTTTGCCCTAAGGAGAAGCTGGATGTCTTTGACTAAGACGAAAGACGGTTTAAGAACCGCAGAATGCAGACGAGAATTCCGTTCCTTCCAGATAAAGTACACCACTGCTTGAAGTATGAGCTTGGAAATAATATTCGACTTAGCATTCCTGGATGGAGATTTAATCCAGTTCACAATATCGACCAATGCAACCGGAGGAGATAATGAAGCGTGCGTAAAGAAAGCATGCCAAACCTCTGTCGAAAACGAACAACCGAAAAACAAGTGAGCCATATTTTCAGGAGCAGCATCGCACAAAAGGCAATTGGGCAGAACATTAATTCCCCAACGAAGCAGTTTATCACGAGTGACCAAACGATCCCGCATAACGACCCAGAAAACGAAGGCATGTTTTGGGATCCTAGCTTTGAACCAAACAGAGTTGAACCAAGTCACCATAGGAGGAGGAGGGTGCAAAGTAATCCAAGTTTTGTGTGTAGAGAAGGTCGATGGAGGTTCATTAGGAGAGTTCCGCCAATAAAATGAGTCAGGTTGAGGAGAAGATGAGTTTGGAACGACATCTGGAAGACAATCACGAAGAAGAACCAAAAGAGGATGTCTGCCTTGCGATATGCTCCAAGATCCATCAGAGATGACATCTGAAACCTTGGCAAGAGACGATATTCCAGAAACCCGAGGACCATTAGCTCCAGTAAGATGGATTAAAAGACCTAAAGAGGTCTGTTGTTGGTGGTGTACTCCGCACCCCCGGTTTAATCCGGTATGAACCAAGATTGGCCCAATTAATCCCGATTTATGATGGTTCACCCGCGGAATATTTTCTGATCTTATCCGGAAAAAGGAAATATTCTCAGAAGATAATTCCTCGAGGAAAAAGGAAGTTGTTCTTATCAGCTCTAAGAAATAAGGAAATCTGCATTATCAAGTCAAGAAGGAAAAGGAAAATCGACCGGCTTCAACCTCTATAAATAAAGAGCTCCTCGTTCATTTAAGGGGGATTCATTCAGAACTCCGCAGAAAACCCTAGAATACATCCTCTTTTTCGCTCTGTAATATGAACTACGAATGGCTTGATCCCTTCTCAAGGGTACGTAGGCAGCTCATCTTGAATTCAGCTATAACATCAATAAAAACTATTTGTGTGATACTCGGTATCAACAATTGGCGCGCCAGGAAGGGGGAACGAAGATTTTTCAAAACCTAAAAAAAAAAAAAACGATACAATAACAGTATCTCCAATCTCTTCTCTCGTTCTCTCTATCAACTAAGACCATCGATTATGATTCCTTATGACCAACATGGATCTTTGACGCCGACAACGTCTTCTTCAAATAGCCGATCTCCGTCATCCGTTATCAATCAAAGATAAGTGTTTAGAATTATACTTATCCTCTCATACTTTTTCACGCTTATTGAATACATGGACTCAGAATCATTAGTTAATAATTGATAAAAGAATCTTTTGCTAGTTCGGTTCATCCTGGTTTGTTTGGTCAAAAAATACGGCTGCATAACGAGTATAACTATAATTAAGTGGATTTCTAATATCTCTAACTCCCGTCATATTTTAGCCCTTATAAAAAACGACATCGTGAATAAGAATACATAGTCACATATTTTCATTAATTTATTTGTTTGAATTGATATCGTTAGTTGAATCAATACGTTAATCATCTTGGCTTAAGATTATGTCATTATCTCTCACGCTTCTTGATTGGAAATTGACTAACTTATGATCTGACTTTTCTCTGTTTTTGACTCGAGCCGACGATGTCTGCATCTCTCCTATCGCCAATGCGCTTTTCATTCAAAGACAAAGCTCGTTTGTTAAAAAAAAAAGGAAAAGTCATCTTCAACACCTCCACCAATTCACCGATTCAAGAAACAGAGGAAAGTCATTCCACCGCCATGATCACCTAAAGACAAGTGTTGTTATGCCCTGGAGATGATAAAAAGACCAAAAAATGAAGTACCCCAGCCTACGTTTTAACATGTTCGCCCATGAACAAGTTCTATTCAAGAGCAAGCTCAAACCCATATGGAGAACGGTTTCACAGATCCTGACTCCAATCTTTAAAGGGCATTTCACGAACTCATTTTGAACTCATCAGACATCAATGCCTCAACAAGACATCAAGCTCAACATAAATAAGAAGGAAGCAGCCAAGCTCGTTTGTTTTCCAAAAAAAAAAAAATATATATAGGAGGGAGTAGGGACTAGGAGACACCTCACTCCGAGACTCTGAGTTCCATCGTTCGTCGTCGTCACATCATCAAGCCCGGCTCAACATCTGCTGACCTCGTTTGCTATTATCCAGAAGAAAGAATTGAAGACTTCGTGTTAAGACCAGCAAAGAAATTGCATCTATCGGCATATTACAAGCAAAGAAACCTCAAAATTGGAGATTAACTTTGTCAACTCTACATCTGCTAGTTGACAAAATCTACTTCTAAGAAGCCCAAGTTCGCAAAGAGACAAGTTTCTATGACGGTAAATGTTACATCACGAAGTAAATGATTACGGAATTCGTCGAGATTTGTGACTTCACCAGTAGTCAATGAAGAACCAAACCAAGGTGACCGAAACCGATCTCCATTTAATCCAAAGCACCGCCCAAAGATACGAGTCTTTATTAAAACGTCTCAAAGCCGACCTGCAAAAGCTCGTCTCACTTATCATCCCCTCCAACTGCTTACATCATCAACGACGAGATATATATAAAAAAAGTGAGCTTGACGCCATCTCCGTTTTCCAAGGAGAAATCTCCATAGCAAAACCAATCACCGAGAATTTCACTCCGAGCTTCGACGTTTTCTCTGCTTTCTGATCATATCACGACCATCGCTTCGAGCTTCCCAAAGCTCTCCCATCATTCGTCGCCACCACCGCTCGAGCTTCCAGGAGCTCCGGCTTCGCCACTGCTACTCACCGCCGCACCTGCACCAAAACCAAATCGTGTTGCAGAGAAATCAGATCTCATTCCTATTGGGCTTAATTAGGTTTCTGGCCCATGAGAATTCATGAGAGTTAAGGCCCATTCTATGGCCCAAGATGATGTGAAGACTTTGGCCCATTCCTCACCATTCTCCACGACCTTCTCCGCTTCCTTGCTTCAGTAACCATGGCGAGAAAGGCAGGCGCAGCTTTCCCTCTCGGATTTCCCAAATCCATCTCCCACACCATCTTCACTTTGGATGATATCCTCATGATGCCTTCTCAACGGAGATTCCTTACAGCTGAGCTGGACTTCTACATATGCTTAATCTGGCTCGATCTCAACAATAATATCTTCAATGGAACAATTCTAGCGGATATGTTCAAGTTTGGGAACGTCGTCAAAAACTTCAGCTTTTGACATTATCTTGTCGAGCTCATCAACTTCACAGTACTGTACCTTGCGTGGGACCTGTGAAAATCATAAGGCCTCGCAATTGACATCGTCTCCACCGAGCTCAACATTAAAGCACCTCCAACAAAAAGCTAAGTTTCATCTTCTTTACTAAGTACTATAATCCAAAATCTCTAAGAGATGGATATCTTCACTATTTCATTCAAATATTGCAGGACTTATAAAATTTATAGCTCCGGCTAAATATGATTCACCAATATAAAAAGCTGCGACAAACAAACAAGATCTCACCTCGATATTTCATTCTGGATAAGAGTTTGGAAGCAGCGATGCAACATGAATATATTGAGCTCGGGCTTAAAAAGACAAAAAAGAAGCTCGGGGTATCCACCGATCTGGAAGCTACTCTTAGCTCGTCAAACCAAGCTTCCCAGTTCCATTAGCTTGTCAAACCGAGCTCTGCTAAAATTCAGGTACTATCTATTGTTCAAAAATATTCTCAATTCTGTTAAGTTACAGGGTCCGTCCCTCAAGCCGAACTACTGTTCGCAAAAAAGAAAGAAAAAGAGAACGCTTCTCTAAAGCTCTCCATAGATGAGCTCCGAGCTCCCACGAAAACTTATGCTTCTCCAAAGTTGTTTCTAAAAACGAGCTCCGAGCTCCCACTTAAGCTCATGCTTCATCACCCCTACCGAACTAAGATGCTATTAACACGTCTCTTTAGCCTCAATTCTGCTTGTTTCTCTGTCTGCTTCATCACCCATCAGTTCGGCTCAGTATTCAGAATTACGGAACTTCAATACAGCTGCTGTTCGACAGTTGTTCTAGAAGTTGAGTTCGGTTCATCGATTTTGGGCTTTAGATTCAGTTCGTCTGGATTCAGAATTTAGGGTCATCAACTTGAGTTCGTCAAATTCAGAATTTCAGAATTTCAGTTTTGATTCAGATTTTTAGTTCGGCTCAGAATTTCAGCATATCATATTCAGTTCATTTCAGATCAGATCAGTTTTTGTTCAGAATTTCGAGTTTCAGTTCGGTACAACAGCTCAGTTAGTCAGACAAGTTCAGTTCATCGACTTGAGTCCGCCATCTCAGAATACACTCTTCTCCCGAGCTATACCACGCTCAAACCTCTTCTAGCTCATCAACCGAGCTCCTTTGAAATTCAGGGTCCGTCCCTCCAAGCCGAACTGACATGTTCGCAGTCCCAACCGAACTCATCGGTATTACATCGACTACCTGACCAGTTGTTCGATAGCATTTCTCAACAATGCAACATCAAAAAGCCGAGATCCGTCTCGCAAGCGTCCACATGGCGCCGTGGTGAAAGAATCCACAATTTTTAAAGCCGGGGCCAGTCCCGCATTACTTATTCCTAAAGTCACCGAGAACAATAAGCCGAGCCCATCTCGCACACTCTGGTTCGACTTAGGAAACCTTGAGTCCGTATCGTGTGTTTACAAGAGTTCGAACTTCACTCTTCCAGCACGAGAAAGCTCACTTGGGTCCCCCAGGCCGAGTTCATTTAACTCGCACAAATTAAGCCGAACATCTCAGATTCACCGTAAGCCGAGTTCACAACACTCGCAAATGTAAGCCGAATTATCGCAATTCGCAATAGACTAAGTCGAAACTCATATAAGCCGAGCTAACAGCTTCGCAAGAATCCACCAATCTCAATTCACACCAGACTAAAAGTACTTACGAAATCCGCCGAACTCTTACATATACTCTTTCGCCGGACTGAGGGGGGGGCTTACTGTTGGTGGTGTACTCCGCACCCTCGGTTTAGCCCGGTATGAACCAAGATTGGCCCAAGTAATCCCGATTTATGATGGTTCACCCGCGGAATATTTCCTGATCTTATCCGGAAAAAGGAAATATTCTCAGAAGATAATTCCTCGAGGAAAAAGGAAGTTGTTCTTATCTGCTCTAAGAAATAAGGAAATCTGCATTATCAAGTCAAGAAGGAAAAGGAAAATCGACCGGCTTCAACCTCTATAAATAAAGAGCTCCTCGTTCATTCAAGGGGGGATTCATTCAGAACTCCGCAGAAAACCCTAGAATACATCCTCTTTTTCGCTCTGTAATATGAACTACGAATGGCTTGATCCCTTCTCAAGGGTACGTAGGCAGCTCATCTTGAGTTCAGCTATAACATCAATAAAAACTATTTGTGTGATACTCGGTATCAACAAGTTCCAATCATCATGCCAAAACGAAGCATGGTTCCCATTTGAAACATGACAAAATAGAAATGGTCTGGCCAACTCCCGCAGCTTCATAAGTTGCTTCCAGATCCAGCTTCCGGAATGCTGAAAATCGGTTGACCAAAACAATCTTCCTCGAATGATGACTTTCCTAACCCAGGCAACCCAAAGCGATCCATTTGAAGCAAAAAGAAGCCAGATCAACTTAAGGCCGTACACTTGATTTACATCCTGCAAACTCCTTAATCCAAGACCTCCAGATACTTTTGGAGTACAAACTGAAGCCCATGAAACCTTGGCACCACGAGCGGAGGATGGAACACCGTTCCACAAAAAAGAATTACATATCTTCTCCAGCGCATCAAGACCACGCTTAGGTAAAGGGAAAACTGCTGCCCAAAAATTGATGATCCCACACTAGACAGATTGAAGTAGTTGAAGTCTCCCAGCGAAAGACAACCTCTTAACAGGCCAAGCAGAGATTTTCGAAATGACTCGGTCTAATAGGGGTTGAAAGTCCTGAGGTTTAAGTTTGTGGGGTATAAGGGGAAGACCCAAATAGCGAACAGGTAAAGCACCCAGCTGTAAACCAAACCGTTCCGCCAACACTCGAGACAAGGGAAGATTGTTTCCATCCAAGAATAAGAAGGATTTATTCAAATTAAGAGCAAGACCGAAAGCCTCCTGAAACCCACGGCACACAGATAGAATGCCTTCCAGAGAACGATCAGTTCCATCAAAAAATATGAGCACATCGTCGGCAAAACTGAGGTGCGATACCAAAGGATCAAGGCATTGCGGATGAGGAGTAATAAGATTGGAACGAATAGCAATATCGAGATCCTTTGCCAATATATCCATCACTAAGACAAAGAGCGACGAAGATATAGGATCGCCCTGCCGTAAACCTTCTTCCCTGGAAAGAATCCAACCAATTCTCCATTTAAAGCAACCGAATAGCAAGGAGAGGAAATACATTCCTTAATCCAACCAACAAAGATTTGAGGAAGATCGAAAGCCTGCAAAATGTTCAAAAGGAAGAGTTTGCCATACAAGTTGTTTGTGGATGTAATTACGAAGAAAATAAAAAGAGAGAATAGAGTATTATGGCGCGCAGTTTGAATGGACGAAATTCAGATCTTTTACATAAATGAGATAATGTAGATTTTTAATTTTTTATTAAGATACATGCAGGAATTTGATCACACCAGATATTGTCATATTGGTGGTATATATTTTGTACGGACAGACACGAACTATATGTGCCCGTAGCTAGCGTTCCATTCTCGGACTGTCTTTCAAAACATCTTTGTTTCGTGTTACCTAACACCCTTTGATTCGTTCATATTATATCTATGCATGCAAGATACAATAGTATTTTTTAAAAACTAGTACAATAATAATTTTTGTAAAACTAACACTGGAAACCTTTTTTTTGATTTGTGGCCAAACATACCACTTTTCACATGATGATGATTTTTTATTCATCGAATATATATACGAAGCACATTGTTCGGGTCTCCTTTATCTCCTTTGAGGAAAAGTTCTCTCTTCAAACCGCCGGATGAAATAGCTTCCGTTTGTATTGTAGACGCTTCTTCAGCCCTTCCTTTTGCTTTGCTCTAATCATTTCTCAACTTCACTCTCTTTCAAGTTTTCAAGTTTCTTATCGCTACTGGATTGACGCCAATGACTGGCATTGATTCTAATACTGATTAGTTTTACTTCCATATTTTTCATTCTTTTTTGCTATGGACCAATTGTTTAAGTCGAACAATTTGTTAACGCGTTTTAATTTGTAACACTTGATTATTTTTATTTTGAATGAAATAATTACAATTTAGAAAATAAATAACGACATGGATGAGTCTGTAAAATCCACCGCGTGAGATCTTTAAAGATTCCAGAAACCAGGGACTCAATAGTGCCAAAGTGGCAAGTCTTGATCATGGATCTCCTTCTTCAACGGCTTTTGATCTCTCAATCCAGCTAATCGACTACTAATCTTTGTACTCTCTTTTTTTTTTTTTTTTTGACAGCCTAATCTTTGTAATCCAAATCATTAAAATAACTATTATTCATTTAATATGCAGAATATTAAATAGTGTTGCTTACTGACCAAACATCTGCCTTTTCAGTCATGGTATATCGTATACTAATACAAGTCCTACGTACGAATTCACATCTCCATACACGACTGTCTTTTATCATATCATATCTTGCAAAATCCATTTAAAAAAAAAAAATTTCCTTGCCACTTAAAAAAATTTAACATCTGAATCACCACCTTTTAATTACAATTAACCTTATTTAATATTTAATATTCGATTTAAAACATGATTTTCATTTCATATAAGAATATTTCTTCTAATGCAGCCTCTGTAAGATTACCAATTCACATTATTTTTTCAACTTCCAATTCACATTGTATGTGCGTTTGTAATATTAATATATAGTAGATGAAGATATATATATGACCAAAACGGTGGTCCATACCGGAAACATATATGTCGATAAAGATATAATCATATATTTTATTTCAAGTGACCAATGCACAAGTAACGGCTTAACAACTGGAATAGAAATTTTTTCTTAGAAATTTTTTTGTCTTCGAGTTTCATCTTTTCTAATGAGTACATTTGTTTGGACGCCTTTTCTAATGATTACATATTATTATACTAGAACTATGAGAACACACATTCATTATAGGGGAAGTCGACTGATATATATATATATATATATATATATATCAGTTACAGATTGGTTGAGTCAATATAGCACATGCCTGGTGTGCAATAAAATTGAATTAATAATTTATCTAGCTTTCATCTTCCATTCTTCCTTATATAACCCGAATTCACTATCATATAACTAATAACATATACATTATCAAAACACAAACTCATAGTTTGAGGAAAAGAGAAAGATATGAGAGTAACACAAAAGCCGAAGATAATATTTATCCCTTACCCGGCGCAAGGCCACGTTACACCGATGCTCCACCTCGCGTCAGCCAGCTTCCTAAGCCGTGGATTCTCCCCTGTCGTTATGACTCCCGAGTCTATCCACCGTCGGATCTCGACAAGTAACCAGGATCTTGGAATCACGTTCTTGGCCTTATCCGACGGTCAAGAACGTCCGGATGCACCTCCCTCGGACTTCTTCTCGATAGAGAAGTCGATGGAGAACATCATGCCTTCTCAGCTCGAACGGCTTCTTCTTGAAGAAGACGTGGCCGTGGCTTGTGTGGTGGTTGATTTGTTGGCTTCTTGGGCCATAAGAGTGGCTGATCGGTGTGGTGTTTCGGTCGCGGGTTTCTGGCCGGCGATGTTTGCTGCTTACCGTATGATCGAGGCCATACCGGAGCTCGTTCGGACAGGCGTAGTTTCCCAAAAAGGTAAGTTGCATTATTTTGACACAATGGTTAATTTACATATACTTCCATTTTGAGAAAAATGCCAATTAAATAGTATTCACTTATATAAATATATACATTATATCTACTTTTAGTTGACAGATTTTTTTTTAACATAGTTGTATTCAAATGACACACGCACACTATCAGATTTAACATACAAGGTGTTATAATTGAATAACCAATGATATCCACATGAGTTCGAGCGCCTAAGACGCAGCGTTATTGAATAATTATGTCCACCTACATACACAAGGGAATGAATATGCAGAACATTTACTTCTAATGAAGAAAATAATACATTACTTGGATGTAAATGCGCACATGTTACGTTGTATCACTGTTTACCTCATATTCCTATAGCTTATACTATAAAAAGCAGTTTATATACCCAAAGAAAGCCTATCTAAATTACTACGTCCGTATACAAATCGATTACGTAAAGCATGCATAGTTTTTAAATTTTTTTAATAAATAAAGTACAAACATATGTATTTTAAATGTATAGTTGATGAAATAAAATAATATCTCTAACAGTTAGTATTTTTTTATTTAATAATACCAACCAAGTGGACGGAAACATCTTTTAAATGTTTATCTAGTGCCTAGTGGCATTGTCATCTTGATTGAACTCAAATAAGATATGATATATATATATATGTCCAGTGTCGTAGTTTGGATATATATATAGAGCATGTTTTTTTTTTTTAGTCAATTTCATAATATATTGCCAAGAATTTAGAAAGTTTTTTTTTTTTTCTAACAAAACCAAGAAGTTAGAAAGTTGAGTATAAGATTATTTTTCTTTCTTTTTTGAAAGACATCTTGAGTGTAAAACAGTTGAACAGAACTTAAGAGACGTAGACCGTTTAAAGACAAGATAGCATTTAATTAATCGGTGTGATTAATCCATCTTACGTGTTAATAATATCTTGGTGGTTCCGCGAAGCTTACGTCTATTTCTTTTGATTCACGTTAGAGAAGAATTAAGCAAAGAAATAAGAATGAGTCACAAGTAATTTTCAAACAATATGAACGTCAAACACGATATCTTTCTTTTGTTATTTTCACTTGGTTTCTAAATAATTGCACATTGCTATGTAGGCTGTCCACGTCAACCAGAAAAACCATTAGTCTTACCACAGCAACCGCTCCTATCCGCCGGAGATCTACTGTGGCTGATCGGAACTCCGGCAGCCCAACAAGGACGGTTCAAGTTTTGGCAAAGAACTCTAGAACGAGCAAAAAGTCTCCGATGGATATTGGTAAACTCATTCAAAGACGAATATGAGGATAAATTCTTTAAAGAATTCAACAAAGAAAACAACGGTCGTCTAAACCCTCAAATCCTTTATGTCGGTCCATTGCATAACCAAGCAGCAGCAAATAATATAATCTTAACTAAGAATCCTAGCTTCTGGGAAGAAGACAGATCTTGTCTTGGTTGGCTCCAAGAACAAAAGCCAAACTCAGTCATTTATATCTCATTTGGAAGTTGGGTTTCTCCTATAGGAGAATTGAATATCAGAACATTGGCATTGGCTTTGGAAGCGTCAGGAAGACCGTTCCTTTGGGCTCTAAACCGGGTTTGGCAGGAAGGACTGCCACAAGGGTTTGTGCATAGAGTCACCATAGTCAAGAACCAAGGACGGATCGTGCCGTGGTCCCCGCAGATCGAAGTTCTTAAAAATGATTCAGTGGGTTGTTACGTGACTCATTGTGGCTGGAACTCGACCATGGAGGTACATACCAACCCACTATTTCAAACCTAACTAAGTTTCCATGAAATGTCTTTATATAAATATTGTTAAATTTCACTTTACATTATTACATATAAACATATTTCTAATACGTAACATATATACATAAACAATTAATGTGTTTAAATTTGTTTGTACAAAAGGCGGTGGCAAGTTGTCGGAGGCTAGTGTGTTATCCGGTGGCCGGAGACCAGTTTGTGAACTGTAAATACATTGTGGATGTGTGGAAGATTGGGGTGAGAATGAGCGGGTTTGGAGAGAAAGAGGTTGAAGATGGGCTGAGGAAAGTAATGGAGGATAAAGAGATGGGTGAGAGATTGAAGAAGTTGAAAGATAGAGCAATGGGGAATTATGAAGCTCGTTTGTGTTTGGATTCACTTTTCAAGGATGAGATATGAATAATTGGGAGAATAATACATCATAATTGTTATATTTTTATATACCAGTATTAGTACATGATCATTGATTTGATTCAACTGTTGCATGATCAAGAATAAGCACGTGAGAATGTAATTTTTTTTTTCGAAAAAATCATTGAATCAATGATGTGTTGATTCAACCATTGATCGGAGTTTTTATTTGGTGCTATATATATTAGTTGTTTTTTGGGTTTAATGTTAAATAACTATATTGATTGTTTTTAGTATGGAGCTGCTTTAGTGGACGCATTTTAACCCCATAAACGAAAATATTTGACTCTTTGTGAGCAAAAAGTAATGTCAATTGGACAACGTTTTCCTTATACGCATTTGTATAATGGAGATTGATTTCAGAAGAATTTCTTCATCTTCAATGATCTTGAAAAGAAGTAAAAGTCAATACTCAATAGTATCGGCTTTGAAATACTTATTGAAGCATACACGAAAAGCTAAACGCAAAGCCCAATAGTTATTCTCAAATCCATGTAACTAGGGTTTCTAGACTAATTTAGATTATATATATATATTTCGTTAAATGCATCTTTGTAAACAATTTTTGAGAGTTGGGTCGACAACTCTCCTTCTTCTCCATTTTATGATAACAATCTAAAATTCTTTTGATCTTGGTGACAATTTAAGTTTTATGTTCTTTCTATTTTCCTTGCATTTCAATAAAGCTCTTTAGAGCTATTTCCCATTTTCTATGAATCTATTCTTGGTTCAAATGAAAGGATTTTGAAACTCAAAGAGATTTTGAACTGAAATTCATTTTTCAAAAGCTTGAAGACTCCATTACAACTGAGCTTAAAATTTATACACAAGTTCAAGCAGAAGATTTGTTGATGTCGATAAGAAACTTGGTCATAGCAGAAGATTTGTTGCCTGTAATTACCATGTCATCAACATAGAGTAGTAACATGATGACATCACGATCATGTGCATAAACGAACAGCGATCTTGATTTTGCTGCAAACAAATCGAAATTCAAGCAAGTAGTTGCTAAATTTTTCAAACCAAGCTTTTGGTGCTTGTTTAAGACCATAAAGAGCTTTACAGAGTAACCATACATGATTAGGGTGTTCTTTGTCAACAAAACCAGTTGGCTATTTCATGTAGACAACCTCTGTGAAAGCTTTAATTTACTTGGTTTGGTTTTTCCTACATGCTCTGATACTATGTAGGAGAGTTCAAGCCAAAAAGATTTAAGCTCTTCAGAGAACATTGAAACAGAAATCAAGATTATAAAATAAGTAACTCATAGAGTTTTATCGTGCAAGAAAATAAAAGAGGGAAAAAGCTTTAAAATTGTCACCAAAAACTCAATAACATTTGATCGATATATTGAAAATGAGAGAAGGGGAGGCAACTCTCCAAAGTTACGAATAATGTTCTTCATAAGAGCATATATATATGAAACTACTTGCTTGGAACCCTAATTACATTAGCTAGACAAACATGGGCTTGTATAACATATAGATTTGTGGATTTATGTTGGACTTGTCATGTGTGTGCTTTAATAATACTCTATTTCTATTAATTATTAAACTATTTTTTTTATATTAAATATATAATCAAGTCGGATCTGAAAATTTGAGAACTATAAACAATTTTAAAAACATATTACTAAGTTTTGTTTTTGTTTTACAATTTGGAAACCAAAATATTTATGTAAATTTTTTTTAAAAAATTGTGAACCAAAACAAATTTTTCATTAGGTTGGCAACCAACCAAGTTGCAACATGTATGTAATATAATACACAGCTTAAGTGAATATTCGATGTGAAACAAATAAAAATAATTAGACGACAAAAAAAAATCGTAGAGACACGCACGCGGCACACGTGCGGTACAACTGAGCAGAAGAAAAAATGGCTGACGTTTGCTTTGACCGCCAAAGAAGACGAAAACGAGTCTTGAAGAAATCACGAAAAAGAAGAAGAAATATCTCTCGCAGGAGACAAACGATTCCTTCTTCTCTTTTTCTTTTGTCTGCAGTAATCTCGCGTCGGAGAGAACCTTTTTCACCTTCTCCTTTGCAGTCTTTCTTCCCTGAAGTTTCTCTCTCTTTTTTCACGATTTTGATCAAATTTTGGGAAATCGAGCTTTGCCGAGTCAAGCGAACGGATTGATTGTCGGTTTCTGAATTTGGGTAATTATCTGAGATTTTTTGTTTGCCATTTTGGTCGAACATCGGATCAATTTTAGGGGTTTTAATTCCGTTTCTGGTAGTGTCGAACATTTCAAAATCGCTGGTGGAAATTGAGTTTTTTTTTTTGGTTTCAGTTTGAAATTTGGGTGATTGAATGAGTTTGATCTTTGGTTTGGGTTTCTTTGATTTTGTGCGATTAAATGGAAAGTTATCGTCTTTTGTTACGTTTCTCCAGATCAAGGTTTCATCTTTAAGTATTCGTCTTGGTGGGTTTGGCTTTAGATCCTAAGAAAGCGTTTATGATCTCATACTGAAATGTTTTTTTTTTTTTTTTTGTTGCGCAATTCGAGAAGCTTAAGCCATTCGAACTGATCAGAGATACAGATACTCTTTGTCTTGCTTCTTAGGTTGTATCTAGTATAGAATCCAAATACCATGGATGAACACAAAAGGAATCCATTTGCAAGTGCAAGCGCAAGTGCAAGTGCAAGAGCAGGGGGCAGTACAAGTGCGAGCTCGAATTCGAGTTTTAGTAGCAGTGTGGCGGATACAGAGGATGATCAAACCATTGCACGTATATTAGCAGAAGATGAGACCTTGAGAAGAGAGGGAAAGCTTGGGAAGAGACTATCTCATTTAGATTCTATCCCAGTATGATAAATAGATAAACTTCTTTTTACCTAATCTTCATATATTAGCTTGAATGTGTTGGGTGATATTTTCATATTTTCGTATTGGCAGCACACTCCTCGGGTTAACAGGGAAATACCTGATATAAATGATGCAACATTAGACCATGAGCTACTCTCTGGAAGGTTCTTATCTTCTTACAAAACGTTCCTTTAGTGTCTTCCATATTCTTTACTGCATTCTTGATTTGATCCTGATTAGATAATTTATTTGTTAGACGCCTAAGGTGGAAAACTAGTTGCCTTAAATCTGTATACGTAGTACTCAAAAACCGGTTTTTTGTAAGTCTGGATCATCCTTGATGGTCTCTTGTTTTTGTTCAGGCTGGCCACATATGGTTTAGCTGAGCTACAAATGGAGGGAGATGGAAATTGCCAGGTACGTCTGAAACATCCAGACCTTGTGAGGATTCTTCAAAAAAAAATTTGTATTGATTTGATCTATCATACTTGTTTGCCAGTTCCGAGCTTTAGCGGATCAGCTTTTCCGCAATCCAGATTACCATAAACATGTTAGGAAGCATATTGTAAAGCAGGTACTGTCTGAGAACCATTCTTGTGCCTAAACTAATAGATCTGTTCTGGGAAGAATGTCGAGCTCTGTAGTTAGTGTCTTTACGGATGACTGTTTAGTTTAGATACTAGCTGTATTACTTTACTCTTGCTTCTTCTGAAAATTATCTAGAAGCATCACTTAGGCTGTGTTTCCTGTCTCTGGTGACTTGGTTATTCAGCCTCCGGAAATTTTTTTCAGCTTTAGCAGTTATGAACTCCTCTGGACTTGGGTTCTCTTGAATGATTTGCCTGTCTTGATTAGTTAGTACTGAAAATGTTTTGACTTAGCATGTTCGTTTTTTCAGTTAAAACAGCAACGTAAGTTATACGAAGGATATGTGCCAATGAAATACAGACACTACACCAGGAAGATGAAAAAGTGAGACGTCTTTGATTTACTTAATTTTTCTTGTGTCAGCAAGTGAATAACTATTCTCGGAATCATTCTTTTTGCTAATTAATTTTGGATGCAACTAGACCAGGTGAATGGGGAGATCACGTTACTCTTCAAGCTGCTGCAGATCGTGTAAGTTCTTATAAAGAAAGTATCATCTTTTGAGCTTACTATAAGACTAGAACTGTTTATAAATACACCTCAGAGATCAAATCATCTATTCAGCAACTGTATCTTGAGGAATCATCACAAACTTCCACCTTTTGTTCGCTCACATTTTCGTTCTCTTTTTACCTGAATGACTGACTGCTGACTCAGCATTACTGTAGTTCGAAGCCAAGATCTGCTTAGTCACATCCTTTCGGGAACAATCCTACATCGAGATACTTCCTCATAACAAGAACCCTCTTAGAGGTAAAAACAAAACCTCTCTTTCTGCCTTCTTACTGTAAGCCAACTTTACTCGGTCCTAACCGTTTTAAACTTCTGTTCTGCAGAGGCTTGGCTTAGCTTCTGGAGCGAAGTACATTACAATTCGCTATACTCTAGTGGAGGTAAGAGTCAGTCTCTTCCATCAACTCTGCTTTTATTTAAAAGTCATTTATCATCATCTTTAGTTAACTATATCTCCATGACATTTCTGAATCTCAATCTCCATGTTTTTCTGAACTATTAGTTCTTGCTCTTCCAGATCTTCCCACAAGAAAACCCAGAAAGAAGCATTGGCTGTTTTAGGATTGTATACTACCTTCCTCAGATTGTGTGTTTACTTTGCAATAACCTCACTTTGTTATATGCTTCTAATTGGTTTTCTCTCTCTCAACACTTCCATTGTAAAACAGCGTGTAAACATTAATATTTTTATAATCATTAATCTCAAGTTTAGTTGGTAATTCTGAAACATAACGAGAATACAACTGACAACGGCAAACAATATTCATAGTTTAAAGAAGTGGACCATAATGAGATCGATCTGAACCGACCGGACGAAATACATCCACATGGACTAAATGTAACGTGTCGTACAGTTATATAAGTTGATATATAAATAATAAGTCTATGTGTTGAATGTTTTTATAATTTATAGTTTGGTTGAGTTTGGAACAAGTAAAGCAATGGCCCTTAAATCACAAGAATAAAAGAATCGGTGGGATCGGGCAGATAAAGCATAGCATCATTTAGACAGAACCAAGTGATAAGTGCTCTATATATTAGCTCTCCAGTTCTATTATGCGGATACAAGTTTGTGTGAAGTTTCTAGTCTGCTAACTATTAAACCATCCATGATGATGTAATAAACGATTATAATTACAATTTAACAAAAAGAAACTTCGAAAAAATCACAACAAAATATATTTTTTGAAAAAGTGTATCCTTAATTTATTTGAAAATTCATAGAAAGTGTATCTAAAATTTATATTCCCATAAATTCTCTTTAATTTCCTACGTAATAAATATGATTTATGAACGATTAGATATGTCAGAGATGACTCAGATTTATGTATGTTTTTTTAACCATTGCATGCTTTTTCTTAACAACCATTTACTGATTTAGGACTAATTTATTAATTAAGAGAAAATTGAGAAGCAGATTAAAAGAGAAAAGATTTCTCAAAAAATAAAAAGAGACATAAAGATTGATTAAACCGAGTGTGGATTTGCTTTGGCAAGGTCATGTGTCAATGTAACACACGGCGAAGGAAACAGAACAACAACAAAAAAAAGGCCATTGCTTTCTTCTTCTTCATTCGCTCTTCCTTTCTCTATCTCTCTCTCTCTCTCTCTTTTTTATCGCGGAGAGAGATTTTCCTTCAACTTTATACTTGTGTTTATCTCCCTTAAATTGAAAACCCTAGCAGCAATCTCAGCTGATTTTTTTAACTCAACCCCTTTTTCTCTTAAATTTTGTGTTTTTCTCTCGTATCTTTCGTTAAGAAGCCACCCATCTGAAGATTAGGAAAACCCTAGGCGCAAAAAGGGAGGGAACAGGATTCTCTTATGCCCTTTTGTCTTCTCGAGAGCTTCGCTTTATTGAAACCTCTTGTTTAATTGTTGATCATGGAGAGATCCGATTCCAGGGATTTGTACAACTTTGTTCGTGCTTCCTCAGGTCACTCCTCGTCTTCATTTTTGTAATCTCATCGAAGGATGTTGCTTTCTCCTCTTTGTGATTTAGCTGCTTAAGCTGGTTTTGGATCCGGTTTTGTGTATTGCTTGGTTCGTTTGCGAGTGAGGAAATCGTAGAAAGGGATGTGATTTATGCTAAACATCTGTGATTGTGTGTTCTATGATTTGTGTCACTGAGCTTATATCGTCTTTGATTGAATTTGTGTCATGTGAATTTCTCTATAAACAATATTTGTATACGGGATCTGATGTTTCTTGTACTGGATTAACCTTGAAGGCTTACGGGTTTGCTTACTTGTTGTTCTTATGCTCCAATGCATGAATGCCAAACCAATTCGAATACTCAAAAACTTATCTTCAAAAATTGTATTTTTAGTTAATCCTGTAAATGGGTAGGCTTTTTGCTATATGATTGTAATTACTTTTATCAAAGGCCAGAACTTTACCCATGCATTACTAACATTGTTTGTTTTTTGTATCTGCAGATCAAAATAGTTCACTCTTTGATGCATCTCAATATGAGTTTTTTGGTCAAAATCTGGACGAAATGTCGTTGGGAGGGATTGACGATGATGAAATGATCGCTCCTGTTCTTGGACATGCTGATGATGATGAGTATCACTTGTTTGATAAAGGAGAGGTAAATGTGCTTTCTCTGTTGAAAGCTAACTTCTTGATACTACATGCAGTAGAGAAATGGTTGAAGATTTTTTACTAATGCATACATGTTGATAATTCCAGGGTGCAGGTTTAGGATCACTGTCTGACTTGGATGATCTTGCGACCACTTTTGCAAAGGTTAGCATCTTTTTATTCACAGACACTATGATATCAATATCTTAATTTCCATGACCCTCATGTAACAATTAACTTCTTTTCCCCCTGGCAAGCTAGTGAAACCATGTCAGGGGTCATGCATATACCTGTTGCTTTTTTTTCAGTTTCTTGTTTTAGTTTTGACTTATTGTCAGTGATTTAACTCTTCCTGTTCTCATTTTGTGTAGTTAAACAGAGTTGTTACCGGACCCAAGCACCCTGGAGTTATTGGTGACAGAGGAGGATCAGGATCCTTTTCAAGAGAGAGTGAGTTAAATTCCTAACTTGGTTATTACTGTATACCTTTAAGGTTCTTTTCAAAGCCTGGTATATTTCTTGTTCTTCAGTTTTCCTTTTCTCTGCCCCTTTTTTGCCAAAACTGGCATCTGAGCTTGAATAATCTTTAGCTTTTTTACTCAGTAGACTTATTGTTATATCCTTTTCGAGTCCAGATAGTATGACCTGGTCTCTTTTTGGTGTGAAAGGTTGGATTGTAGAGATAAGTCGTGTTAGCTGAAGAAATCCTGTGGTTTTTTTTCCTGGTGTTGTGGTTATTTTAAGTTCCAATTCAGTATTCGTTCGTCTGAAACATCAGATTAACTTTTCTGACTGTACTTTATCTCTAGGCTCTTCTGCTACCGATTGGACACACGACACAGAGCTCACAAGCTGGTTGGACGAACAAGATCAAGAGGCTAATAGATGGTCCTCACAGCCACAATCATCAGCTCATTCAAAACCTTTGTACAGGACATCCTCCTATCCTCAGCAGCAACCACAGCTGCAGCACTACAATAGTGAACCAATAATTGTACCAGAATCAGCTTTTACCTCCTTTCCCCCACCTGGTAGCAGATCTCCGCAGGCTTCACCGGGAAATCTCCACCGCGCTCCTTCTCTTCCTGGTGGTACCCAGCTCACCTATAATCCACCTTCGCCGCTGTCAAATTCTAGTTTTCATCTTTCAGGAATGTCGCACAGGCCCCACTATGGTGGTAATTTGGCTAGATATGCCTCGTGCGGTCCTACGCTTGGTAACATGGTTCAACCTCATTGGGTCACTGATCCTGGTCTTTTGCACGGTGATCATTCTGGTTTATTACATAGCCTGGTGCAGCAACAGCATCAACAGTTGCCTCCTCGAAATGGTCTTATGTCGCAACAATTGATCGCCCTTCAGCAGAGACAGTCGTATGCACAACTTGCGGCGCTACAGTCCCAGATGTATAGTTCCTATCCTTCACCATCACGTAAAGTCTCTTTTGGAGTTGGTGAAGTTAGGGAACACAAACATAAGTCATCTCATAGAAGTCGGAAAAACAGAGGCATCTCCCAACAGGCATCAGATGCAGCTAGTCAGAAAAGTGAAAGTGGGTTGCAGTTTAGATCAAAGTACATGACTTCAGAAGAAATAGAGAGTATACTCAAGATGCAGCATTCTAATTCACACAGCAATGATCCTTATGTCAATGATTATTACCACCAAGCTCAGCTTGCCAAGAAGTCTGCCGGATCTAAAGCAGTCTCTCAGTTCTATCCTTCTCAGTTGAAAGACCACCAGCCTCGGTCTCGTAATAGTTCTGAACAGCATCCACTAGTTCATGTAGATGCCCTTGGAAAGATTACACTTCCTTCTATTCGCAGGCCACGTGCGTTGCTCGAGGTTGACTCTTCTGCTGTTTTCAACGATGGAAGCGCGGATCATAAGGGCTCAGGAAAACATTTGGAGCAGGAACCTCTTGTTGCAGCGAGGGTCACGATTGAAGATGCTCTTGGAGTTCTTATTGACATAGTTGACATTGACAGGACTCTCCAATCAACTAGACCTCAAGACGGAGGTGCTCAGGTCAAGAGAAAGCGGCAGATACTGCTAGAAGGATTAGCGACAGCACTTCAACTTGCTGATCCGTTCAGCAAAACGGGTCAGAAATCCGGGTTGACTTCTAAGGACGACGTTGTCTTTCTACGTATAGCAACTCTTCCCAAGGGTAGGAAAATGCTCACAAAGTACATACAACTTCTAGTTCCTGGTACTGAGATTGCTCGAGTTGTCTGTATGGCTGTATTCCGCCACTTGAGGTTTCTATTCGGTGGCCTGCCTTCAGATACTCTAGCAGCAGAGACGATAGCTGATCTTGCCAAAGCAGTCACGGTTTGCGTTCAAGCCATGGACCTCCGAGCATTGAGTGCTTGCCTTGCAGCTGTAGTTTGTTCTTCAGAGCAGCCACCTCTGCGTCCTATTGGAAGTTCTGCTGGGGACGGTGCTTCAGTTGTCTTGATATCTCTTCTTGAGAGAGCTGCTGAAGTAGTAGTGGTGGTTCCTCGAGTGAGCCATGGTAATAATCCTAATGATGGTCTCTGGAGAGCCTCGTTTGATGAATTCTTCAACCTTCTTACCAAGTACTGTAGGAGCAAGTATGAGACGATCCGAAGTCAGAACCAAGGGAGTGCAGCGGATGTATTGGAGCTGGCGATAAAGAGGGAGATGCCTGCTGAGCTTTTACGTGCGAGTCTCTGTCACACCAGTGACGACCAGAGGAACTATTTATTAAACTTTGGTCGTAAACCGTCGGCTGTTAGTGAGTCGGCGTCTCATGCAAGGGGTGGTCAGATCAACTCCGAATCTGTGAGGGGTTAAACGAAAGGAGAGAGCGAGAGAGAGAGAGAAGTTTGATATCAAAGGGCTTGGAAGATTCCAGTTCTTGGTTTTCTTGGCTGTGGATAAAAAACAGTCAAAAGGGTGTGTGTGTGGACTCGATCAGGAGCCAAACTTGTAAGTAACTTGGTGGTGTAGGAATCTTTTCACAAGGCTTTCAGGTGATAAGTGCTGTTAGATTCTCTGCTTTTCTTCTTTCCTTTTTTTTTTTTTTTTTTTTTTACTTTGAACTCTTTTTTCTTATTATTATGATCAGTGCCGTGTCCATGTTAAGGAAATGGAAACATTCGCCTATAACCCTTTGTGAATATAATATTTTGAGGTATATTTTAAAATTGAAATTTAGGTATAATAATAAACTATTTGACATAAATCCTATTCAACATATTTAAAACATTCCTTTTTTATGATATCTCTTTTGAATTAAATATAGATAGTTAGAAAACATTTGTGAATCTTCTATATGGGTGTAACACCATATATTAATCAAGCTCGTTTAATAGTTCCTAGTAGAATCTTTTTGGAAAGATTCTTGAAATTTCTAGCTCGTTTAAATGTCAGAATTGATTTTCTCGTTTTTTTAATATATCTTTTATATAATACTACAAATTTTCTGTATTGGTGAATGACTAATCTACGACTTGACTAAGCTAGTGATATTATACGTCGTTCACTAATCTTTGTTGGATCCAGCGAATTTCATGTGTTGCATTTCATATTTTGTAAAATAATAAAGTCTACACTATTTTCGCAGAGAAAGAAAAAGTAGAAGAGCTAAAAATATTTATAAGTTGTAACTACTATAAATTAGATACAAGACATCTGATACAAGCCATTCAAATGATTCGAATTTGTACAGACTCCAATCCAGTTGTATCACAACATCTTTGATTAAAAAAGAAAAAGAAAAAACTCGAACCTCATCGTCGAGTGTTCGGAAAAATGACAAGTGACAAATACGAGCTAGATATTTTCTTTAGCCCATATTAAAAAAAAAAAAAACATTCACTTTTTGGTTTTTGGTAGATAATTAAAGGGAAAAAAACGATCCAACAAAAAATAGATTAAAATCAGGTGTAGAAACTGTGGGAAGAAGAGGAAGAGGTGGATGTGGAAGTGTAAATGTGAGGTGTAACAAATTTGCTTCTCTTGTTCTTCCTCTTCTCCAAAAACCTCTTCACCGATCTCTTCAACGAAGACCTTAACGGCGATCCCAAGCTCACCGGCGCTAACTCTAACGCCGTTACTTCCCGCTCCTTGCTCGCCATCTCTATTATTGCCCTTATCTTCGTATATATACACATTCATTATTGTATTTATCAGTCACTAATTAAGAAGACAAAAACAAAACAAAAAACTCAACAAACATATGTATATACAAGCAAATAGAGATTTTACCTGGATCTCTACGTGATCATACTCTCGTAGTTTACCATTATAGAATGCATTCATCTCCTTAGATCTTGTCGCTGAAGATTCATTAATCCTATAGCCATTTTTGCAAAAAAGAATTAAAAGGTTTTAATTTTGAATGTGAATAAAAAAGGTGAATAATGAGGTTGGGTCTAAAAAGAAAACTCACGTAGAGTCTCTACGACAAGACTGAAGCGAAGAGGTCATCGGAGATAGGCAGAGATCTAAGCTGCAATTCTTCATGTTCCTCTCTTCGTTAAGATTCTTTCTTTGGTCAAGTTTATGGAAGTCAAGATAGAAATATAAACTATAAATAAGAACGTGCCGTAAGCTTTTTTTTTTTTCCGGGAAAAAAATAAATATCTGCAAATTTGGTCACATGCTTCATGTTTTCAACACGAGAGAAAAAGTATTTTTAAGGAAAATGGTAGGTTTTATGAAGGTTTAAAAAAAATCGTTAAGAATACATATATCAATCAAAGTGTCTGAGGAAGTATCTTGAGTAACGTAAGTGTAATAAATTTGTAATTTGATTGTAAGTGGTGTGTTTATAGATTTTGTACGCATCAAATTTAGACCTATTGTATACAATTTCTTGTAGAATGTAAATTTTAACTATAAATTCAGCGTTGAATCTTACGTAATGCTGTGTATATTGTGAACTCAAATTTTCATTTGTTGATTGTTAGTTAGGCTTGTTAAATGTATATATGTATTCTTGTTTCTTTTATATTCCGTGTTGTGTACTTCTGTTTATCAAAGTACATTTGAAACTATCAATATTTATCTAAAAAAAATATTAAGATATAAAAAATTAGGAACTTGATTTTTAGGTTTGTGAAAAGATTGGCCACATGCAGTGTTTGTGCCATGTGGGGTTTGAAGCCGTTTGGTTTAAATATTTGCCATAAATAGAAAGTCGATTCCTAAATGAGGGTGGTGAGTTCCCTGATTTTTATGTTGTGTTTATTGCATTACGGAATTCATTTCTTTTTTTATCTGTCATTTATTTTAGTCTGAGAACCGGAAAATTCTAGACTTAAATTGTCTTCTTGGTTTGAAATTGTAGACTAATTTATGTTTATTAATTAACGAACTCAATTAACCATATCTCAGTAGCTAGTTAATCATGTTACGAACCAAATGCTAGCGAGTTAGTAGTTAATTCCCACTTGTTGAGGAATTGTTATGTTGATTTATGCTGTGTATGAATGATCTAATCACTTTTATTTGATTAATTAGTTAAAATGATGTCATTTTTAAACTTATTAGAAGATTCTGTGAATGTTCTATATATACAATCACTCTAAAAGATTAGTTGTATTGTAAACTTTCAAATCACCTTCTACTTAAAAAAATTGTCTGATTACGAAAATCAAATTATAAATTGACGCATCAAGTTTGAGTAAAATTAGTTGAAAATAAAACTATTGTATGTATACACAAATTTATCTTAGAATATGGTTGAATAAAATTAACATAATTTGTCGCAAAATGTAATAAGAAATAATCGAAATTAAAGAGAAAACATGTCATAACTGAATGCAAAGTGAGATTGAAGTGGAAAGCCAGATTAAAGTTAAAAGGTGGGTATAGAGAAGTTGACATTAGTGGATGAAATAAGACACGTGAAGCATGTTTTGCAACTGTTGAAAAGTCACGTGTTCTCCTTTTTATTTTACTTATTTTAATTAAGAACAAAAAAATAAAAGATAAAAGACATGAACATAATTATGAACTTGTAGTGGACACATGGGAAATTAATGTGACTTTGATCGAAATAGTTAATTGTAAAGATGTGCGAAGGGTTTTGATGTCTAGTTTAATGTTAGTATTTACGACACTGACCATTTGGCCCACAACACTAATTTCATGTATTCTGAGTGGATGGTTTGAACATATTTTCTCTTGTTATTTATCCAAAATTACAATTAGGCCTTTCCAAAAAAAATTACAATTATCCAAAGGGTACTCAAGAATTTTGACTGGAGTGTTGTAAACACGACTGGTGATTAGCAAGAGTTTATTGTATTTTATTAATATGCTTAATACGCTTACTCTGAGCTAAGATTAATTAATATTAGTAGAGTTGAGTATACCTGCTTTTGGGGATGATCAAATGCGAATAAAACAATTCCACCAATCTATTTGTTTTGTTGTCTGAAAGTCATATGTAAAACGTGAAGTTGCTTTGTATAACAGAGTATCATTTGGGGTTTTAAGGGCGTTTAACCGCAGCGGTTGCGGTTGCGAGTGCGGGAGTTTGCGAAAGTGGACGATTGCGGTTTTGAGCGTTATTCAGCGGTTTGCACGACTGCTTAAACTTTTTAAAGCGGATCTGTTTGCAAGATATTTTTGACTAGCAAACCAGCGGTTGTTTTAGCGGTTAAACATAAAATTACCAAAATAAACATCATATATAATTATAAAAAAAACAAAAAAATTATATTATTATGATAAATATCAAAATCACTATTTCAAAATAATTAATAAAAATTATAAATAAATACTAAATAATTATTTTAAAAACTAATAAATTTTATAATAATATATTTTATTTCAATTATTGGGAATATCACCGAAAATTGTGTCTAATAATGTAATAGACTGGAAAAAATTTGTCTAAATACGTGGATCTTTTGGATTATCTTATGTATGATGTAAAATTTCTTCAATTGATCTAATCGATTTTTTTGCACGACCCTAACTCAAATCAACTCCAAATTGCTCATTAGTATTCAAAATACGTTTTTTCTGGAGTGTATTCAAAAATTTAGAATATTTATCTTGAAATTATTTTTCCACAATGATTCGTTGAATTAACGTACATGCCATCTCGTTTGATCATGTAACTTTCTGAAGAACAAAAAAAAAGAATTATAACAAACTAATTTTGTAATTAATAAGATACATATTTATAATTCTTACTTTAAAAGTGGAAACAAAAAATTAATATAAATGAATTAAACCAAAGTATTATGGCATTTACATGTATCTTAATTTTTTTCAACTGATATGAAAGTCATGATTAGAGACTAGAACTTGATAGAAAAAGTGAGAGGTTTAGGGTTTATATATATAGGAGAAGATTAGTAGGGTTAGGGTTTTATAATTATTTTTAACGTGATCTTCTATTTTTTTTCTAGCGTGATTTTTTTCTTTTAATTTTTTTTATCCAACCGCTACCGCCCGCAACCACAAACTCTGGCGAGAAACAGCTTTTGGATTTCAGCGGTATAAAACAATATGGAGCGGTTTACAGCGATTTCTATGATTGTGATAAAACGCCACTAACCGCTACCAACCGCAAACACTGTGTTTGCGGGTGATAGCGGGTAAACCAATCAACACCTTAGTTTATGGCGGGAAGTCTGCGTTTGGGCTTATGGGTCCCTATCGCTCAAATCAACTGACGTTAACAAGATGGCCCAATAAGTTTTCAGTTTGTTTTTTGTTTTTATCAGCCTTTTCTCAGCAACAACAGCAAATATCCATATGGAAATTACATATCATACGTGATTAATGTTACTAACTTACTATGTTAGCACTTAGCAGGAGCAACATATTAACGTGTTGGTTAAAGCTGGTCTAGTTTCCATTAGTAGCACATATATTTATCTAAGACTTAAACCAAGTAAAACTAGATCACTAATACTTTATATGGAATATTAATCTTTTTTTTTGTTTTCTTATAAAAATATACAAAACCTTGTAGCTAATCTTCATCTCCATAAATAATGACATTGATGATGACTCTTACCTAAAAACAAATCACCAAACGGATAGTAAAGAAATTTATCGAAACAAGTTGAGATAAAGTAGTTAAATTACAACTTTTGAGAGTATGTGGGTCTTTACGTAAATAATAAGATTATAAGTGGTGAAATTAATATTTGGTAATATGTTCAGGGTGCAATTTATAAAATTGGAGACGGAAGAAGAGACGCCGTTCAAACAATCGAGAAGAAGAGTCCTTTTGTTTGTCTCTCCGGACACGGAGATCTCTCTTCTTCCACATCCTTTCTCTCTCGGCGCGCGCTCATCCTCATTGACCTCGATTCAAGTACGATCTCCAAAACTGGGTTTTCCCAATTATCTTCCTTTCGAATATCTTAGATTCATCAGCATAGTTTTCGCTTCAAAAGATGGGGATTTTTCACATCTAGGGCCGGTGAAGATCATACTGGAAATCTGAATTTCGAAGCTGTAGTTGTGGCTATTCGAGCTTAGTTTTCAGAAAAAAGAAAAATATCCTCTTGATTTTCACGCTGCATCTGCTTGGTTGGTTATGTATTGATTTTTAGCTAGGCTATTTTGATAAACTGCCTTGGGAGCTATCTGCTTCTCTAGATCGAAAAATATAGGAAAACAAAGGAAGATAATTCGGTTCGAAAGGAAAAGTAATTGATGGTTGAATTGGTTTATTTAGTGCCAAATTATGGAATGGAATTGCATGAATTTGGCAATATTGTTCTTCACGGGAAAAACTAGGATAATAATTTGTATATCTGATGTTGGTTTGTGGTTTAGTAGGTCCTCCGAATTCGATTCGTTTAGATTTTTTAAAGTATTAATTTGGAGGGAAGCTGCTAGGATGGGTGTGAAGCAGGCCCTAAAGAGCATCGATGCTTTTCCCAGAGCAGAGGATCACTTGTTGCAGAAGACGCAGTCATGGCTTTTCTTTTCGCTCTTTGAGATCCTTTTTTTTTGAATGCTTGGTGTATGTGTTTGTGTTCGCTTATTTAACATCTTGAATTTATTTGTTGTTGCAGTATCGATCGTTGGACTCATTATAATGGCTACTTTGTTCTTGCACGAGCTGAGTTACTATCTTAACACGCTTACAGTGCATCAGGTACGTATTTAGTTCGAGCTGAATCTGGTGTTTTTCTGTTTATTGCGCTGACTCTATCCTTCAAACTGCTACGCATAGTCATATAATTTGCAGTGAATGATCTTCCGTTTCATGTGTATTATGAAACTCCGTAGATGGATGCCACTCTTTAGTTAATTAGTCGAGATTAACTGAAAGCCTGCCATTGCCCCATTGACCTTGTTATTGTCGTGAACTATGTATTTCTTCTCTAGGTAAACTTAACTTTAGTGAGGTATTGCAAAATGATTTGAAATTCCTAGTTGAATTTGCAGTGATCCGAGGTAATGCAAAATGATTTGAACGTCCTAGTTGAATTTGCAGTGATCCATATCATTAGCGAAATACACTACAGCAAACAACAAAAAAGAAAATTCAAAGTAGGGGGATTTGAAGTCATTCTGTTAAGTCAAATTCATTGTTACCGTAGGCGTTCTCTGTCCATGTGATTGGCTCGTAGGTGGCTTTCTCATTTTCTATATCTAATTATCGTAATCAAAATGGAATTTGTATCATTTTTTTTCTAGATGTCAGTAGACTTAAAGCGTGGAGAAACTCTTCCCATTCATGTAAATATGACGTTTCCGTCTTTGCCTTGTGATGGTAAGTGAAATCCATTGATCACATACTATTATTACATTCTTTCCTCCATACCTTCTGGGATACTTGTCGTTGTAGACTCCATAATTTGATCTTATTTGTTTTGTAGTATTGAGTATGGACGCTATCGACATGTCAGGGAAGCATGAAGTGGATCTCGATACGAACATTTGGAAGGTAAATTGAATTCAGATGCTAATTCAAATCACAAGTCTTTTCACATGTTTTCTCTTCCACCTTAATAAAATTACTGAAACTTATTTTGCGCCTGAAACATTATAGAGCTCATACTGTTCATATCTAAGTTAAACATTCTACCTGAAGGGAACTATTAGAATGTTTCTTTGGCATCTTTATGTCTCACTTCTTATGGCATTTTATGTAGTTGTACTGGTTTAAGGTCGAGTTATTTACTCACTTATTTTGAGTATCATTCTGCAGCTCCGTCTCAACAGTCATGGTCATATCATTGGCACAGAATATATATCTGATCTTGTTGAAAAAGAGCATGATCACTCGACTCACAAGCATGGTAACATTCTAAACTTTATGAGCCTTCTCCAAGTTTGTACCTTCTCTGAAGAGCTTCATTTCCCTTAACTATCGTTTCAATGTCATTGTCTTGAGCCTTTTGGAAGAACAAATAGTCGTGTACATGTTGGTTAGGCATAGATGTCAAACTTGTATTAACACTAGTGGCTATGTAACCTAATAATAGGACATGTGTACACCTTTTTCAAGTACGAAGTTGTATCTGGAGAACTGAATTTACACAAATGTTGTGCTTCCATCGAATACTAATGGGAATTTTACAAGCTGAATTGAGACTTATTAGTATGGTGAATCATAAAAAAGTCTCAGTGATAGTTGTCATCGTAGCTAAGTTTGTTTTAGTTGAAGATTAGAGACCGAATCATGTACACACTTTAATCTGATATCTTTTGTGCTTGCTGAACATGGCAAAGAAGAACACAAGAATGAAACCGAAGCATTAAATGTTCTTGGATTTGATCAAGCTGCTGAGACGATGATTAAAAAGGTGAAACAAGCATTGGCAGATGGAGAAGGATGTCGGGTATTAAGCTCTGCTCTTGTCAAATAGACAAACTCGAAATGTTGCCCTGTTGGCGTTTAGGAAAACAGAGACTAATCTTTTTTGGCTGTTTTCCAGGTTTATGGTGTCCTAGATGTACAGCGGGTTGCTGGAAACTTCCATGTTTCAGTTCATGGATTGAATATCTATGTTGCCCAGATGGTTGGTATCATTATCTCGCTTTATAAACCATCCTCTTAACAGAATTTAAGTCCAAAAGTTTCTGAAAACACTAACCAAGAACATACTTTAAACTTAAGATTAGTTAATTTAGTTTGATTAAGTACCATGTGACCATTTTAGAAGTTCGATTCCATTGATATGTCAATATGAAAAGTATAAAGCCAGACTTCTACATAGAAAGATTGATAATCGCTAAATTACTCTCATCATTTGCATTTTGCACCTCATTCACTGACTTTCTATATGATATCTCATGCTCGTATTGCCTATTTTGTTTTACCTAGATCATCCTTAGTATCTAACTAATCTCTTTACCCTCTAACCAGATATTTGGCAGCTCCAAAAACGTAAACGTGAGCCATATGATTCATGATCTATCCTTTGGGCCGAAATACCCCGGAATTCACAACCCACTTGATGACACAAACCGAATTCTGCGTGACACCAGTGGAACTTTCAAATACTATATTAAGGTGTTTATCTAATTCCATCACTATTTTTTCACTCATGTCTCTCTTTTGGCTGTATATTTTGTTATACTTCATTATTTGGTATCTCCAAGTCACTTACCGGTATGGCCAGCTTTATAATCCATTTCTTTAGATATGAATAATATTTGTAGCTTAGGTCACTGATTTCTTTCTGGCATGGTGCAGGTCGTTCCCACAGAATACAGATATCTTTCAAAAGACGTGTTGTCAACAAATCAGTACTCTGTAACGGAATATTACACGCCGATGAACGAATTCGACCGAACATGGCCAGGTTGGTCGAGCAAACTTCATTTCCAGTATTTACCTGGTTCTTATTACTCTGTTTCTGTTTCTTGATGACATCTTTTTACAATGCTTTTTTTCATTTTCAGCCGTCTACTTCTTATATGATCTCTCACCTATCACTGTGACCATCAAGGAAGAACGACGCAGTTTTCTCCATTTGATCACTCGGCTTTGCGCTGTATTAGGCGGTACTTTTGCTTTGACAGGTTCGTCGCATTGTCGGTCTTACTCTCAATAATCATCGTTCAAAAATCTTCGCCTAATTGCTTATGTCATGGTATTAAAACAGGAATGCTAGATCGTTGGATGTTCCGCTTCATTGAGTCTTTCACCAAGAAACCGAGTACCAGAAGCATACACAAGTGAAACAGAGAAAGACACTGAGAAACCTAAGAAGAAAGAAGAATCTCTCAAGTCCTAAACATGTATCAGCCTTCTGAGGAAACCCTCCAGAGATTACAGAAACTCGAGGATTGATACATTTGCAAGATCCAACCTCAGAACTGTAGAATCCATGGATAAATATATAGTTTTTTTTGCTTGTCCTCAAGTCTTCTTTCACTCTTATGTAATACTCTGATTTTCTCTGGTTAACTAGTAGAGTAATTTGTAATTTTATTTAACTTTGATTCCCGAGATTTTAGCATTTTTAACTATTAATAAAAGAAATATCGAAACTCACATCTCTAGCTCCATTGAATTGATTACAGTTTCTTCAAGGTAACCAAAAATAAAAAGAAGCCTCTCGTACTTGAACACGTGCTGCACGTGCAGGCGGATAAATACACTCGTCACAGGTGATTCTACCTCATAATCCTCTGTGTTTTCGCTTAGTTCTCTGAAAGTGATTACTCTTTGACTGAAACCCTAATTGGGAACAAAGGGTTTCTACATTTCTCTTATCGGAAAGCTTCACAGCCGTTGCATCTGAAATAATGATCACCGGAATACTCCGCAGATCTTCGCTGCCGTCGAGACGGACTCTCTCCGCCGCACTAACCTCCATTGATTCGTGTCTTTCCCACTCTTTCACTTCAGCCGCCACCGGAATCTCCGTGGAGCGTAATCTGATCGGAATTGGATCTAATGTCTCCGGCGACTTCATCTCTGGATTTGCTCCCGCATCGTCTCCGAACTCGATTGGTATTAGAGCGAGGGACTTTCACATTAGATCTGAGCCGGCGATGGTTTTCCCCGCGAGAATCGCGTTTCAAGGCTACGCCACGGAGCGTGAGAGTAGCGTCGGAGATTCAAAGAGTGTTTCTAAGATCAGAATTTCTCCAAAAAATGCCAAACAGTCGAGTAAGAAGGTGATTGCTCCTCAGGTATGTTTTTGTTTCTCATTTTGCTTCATCATATTCAGATACAATTTTTGGTGTTAATGTTGTTGAAAACGATTTGAGAACTATTGTTGTTGTTGCTGTGTTTGTGGTTTTAAATAGAAGAAAGAAGGAGAAGAAAGCACATCAAAGATCAAAGGAACCAGGATCTGCATAGCGATTCGGTCTTTCGATAACCCTGAAAAGCAAGCTTGGTGTCTTCCTCCTCACTCTCGTAAAGTCGCAATGCCAGACACGAGAGTCTTGTACACCGTGCTACGATCGCCTCACGTCGACAAGAAGTCGAGAGAGCAGTTCGAGATGAGGTTCAAGAAACGGTTTCTTGTCATCAGAGCTCAGAGCCACGAGCTGAGCAAGAAGCTCTTCTGGTTAAAACGTTACCGTATTCTCGGAGCTCAATACGAACTCCAGTTCCATTGCAAGACACGTTTGGACATGGCTCCTGTGTTAGGCAACATCAATGGCTCCAGTATTGGTCAATGAGAATTTAACAGGAAAGCTACAGTGTTGGTTTTTTTTTTTACCCGATCCTGCAATAATGATTCAAGAATTCAGCAACTTGTAGCTTTTTTTTGTTCTTATGTAGTAAACATGTTTGTTTTTTTGGGACGACTCTCAAAGACATGGTTTTAGATTGAGTTCTAGTGGCAAAAAGCTTCAAATTTAGGCCATTTGATTCATTGTATGGGTTTCATCATAGTCTAGACAGTCGGAGACGTTTGATGTATCTAAACCAGAGTCAGATTCATTACCGATCAGCTTAACCAGAATGCTTTGCTTTCTTGATTCAGTTGAGTTTTTTAACATCATTATAAAATCATTAACGGTTTCATTTAAAATCGGTGTTTCCTTCACATCCAAGTACACCTTTGGGGACAAGCCACTCTCTTTCCATTAACAGGCTCTCTCGCAAAGTGCAGGAGTATACCATACACTCACCCGCAGGTGATTAAAATAAAATACTTTTATGCCCTTTAGTAGATTCTTTCATGTTTTCTTCAACCTTCCTTCTTTCTTTAAATCTCCCTAAACCCTTTTGCCGTCTTCTCTAAAACCCTAATTCTCACATTTGGGTTTTCTCTTTCTCAGCATTTTGCTTCATTCTCACCAAAAATCCCTCTCATTCTCTTCTGGATCTGAAAATGATCAGCACAATACTCCGCCGATCTTGCCTTGGTGCGTCGACTCGGACTCGGGCTCTCTCCGCCTCTCTGACCTCCATTAACGCGGCTCTGTTTCATCATCTTTCTCCAGCCGCCGCTACAGTCACCGATCTACCCGTTAATGGACCTGGAAATGTCAAGCCTAGCGTCGCTCTCCCTCCGACTTCGAACCCGTTTGGTGTTAAAGCTAGGGACTTTCATTTTCAATCTGGACCGTCGGAGTTCAGATCGTCGATTGTTTCTCCTGCGGGATTCGCTGCTCAAGATTACGCCGCTTCGTATGAAAGCAGCGACGGAGGAGACTCGGAGAGTGTTGGTAGCACCAGCAGCAGCGGCGGCGACGGGCTAGCGATATCTGAGCTTGGTATATCGCCGGAGATTGTCAAAGCTTTGAGTGGTAGAGGAATCGATAAACTCTTTCCTATTCAGGTATGCTCTTCTTGCTCCGTTTTTGTTTGTAGAGATCATCAACATCGCTGCATCGGAGCAGTTTAATTTCTCTGTTTTTAACTGAGTTTTTGATGTTTGTTGGGTTGAATAGAAAGCTGTGCTCGAGCCAGCGATGCAAGGTCGTGACATGATCGGTCGTGCAAGGACTGGAACAGGAAAGACTCTTGCTTTTGGGATTCCCATCATTGACAAAATCATCAAATTCAACGCTAAACACGGGTTTGTTTTAAATTCCTAGATTTTACAGTCTCTAACGATCATCCGAGGTTTCATAGATTCACATTTCCTTTGGTTTTGTGTGTGTGACAGACGTGGGAAGAATCCGCTTTGCTTGGTTTTGGCTCCGACAAGAGAGCTTGCTCGCCAAGTTGAGAAGGAATTTAGGGAGTCTGCTCCAAGCTTGGATACCATATGTCTCTATGGAGGTACACCCATCGGACAGCAAATGAGGGAGCTTAACTATGGTGTTGATGTAGCGGTTGGCACACCAGGTCGTATCATTGATCTGATGAAAAGAGGAGCTCTGAATCTATCAGAGGTTCAGTTCGTGGTTCTGGATGAAGCTGATCAGATGCTTCAGGTTGGATTTGCTGAGGATGTCGAAGTAATATTGGAGAAGTTGCCTGAGAAGCGTCAGAGCATGATGTTTTCTGCAACAATGCCGAGTTGGATCAGATCACTCACCAAAAAGTACCTGAATAATCCTTTGACAGTTGATCTTGTGAGTAATCTTATACGTGCTTGTGTTTATATCTGAAATTGCTGAAATTGCTATCATTTACTGCAAATATTTTTAGTTGACATTTTGACTAACTGTGATGTGTTATTTAGGTTGGAGATTCTAGTCAGAAACTCGCAGATGGAATCACGATGTACTCTATCTCAGCAGATTCTTATGGCAAAGCATCCATTATTGGTCCTCTTGTACAGGTATGCTTTCTTTGCTTTGCTTTTAAACCATCATCTGTGATGTATGGCAAGAATTTATAACACCTTTTTTTAAACAGGAACACGGTAAAGGAGGGAAATGCATTGTCTTTACTCAAACTAAACGGGATGCTGATCGTCTTGCATATGGTTTGGCAAAAAGCTTCAAATGTGAAGCTTTACACGGTGACATATCGCAGAGTCAGAGGGAAAGAACACTTGCTGGTTTCAGGGATGGGAATTTCAATATTCTTGTAGCAACTGATGTTGCTGCCCGTGGACTAGATGTACCTAACGTCGATTTGGTAAGTTAAAAAACTACACTTTTCTTTTGTTCTTAACGAGTTCTGTTTCTCATCTTATTTAAACCCATCTTTTTGATTGTGTGAATAGGTAATTCATTATGAGCTTCCTAATAACACCGAGACGTTTGTTCACCGAACGGGGAGAACAGGCCGTGCTGGAAAGAAAGGAAACGCGATTCTCATCCACGGTCCAGAACAATCCAGGGCTGTGAAAATGATTGAGAGAGAAGTCGGAAGCCGATTCAATGAGGTTATAAATCTGTACTTCTGTACTCTCTTTGTTTCTTTTGTTTGAATGCCTGGATTTTAAGTTGGTATTTGTGTTTAATGCAGCTTCCTAGCATTGCTGTGGAACGTGGAAGCGCAAGCATGTTTGAAGGAATAGGTGGTCGATCTGGTGGGTCCTATGGAGGAGGCCTGAGGGATCGCGGTTCAAGCTTTGGTGGTCGTTCAGGTGGTGGTGGTTATGGAGGTGGTGGTTACGGTGGAGGTGGTGGTTACGGTGGTGGTGGTGGTTACGGTGGTGGTGGTGGTGGTTATGGTAGCAGTAGTGGCCGTTCAGGTGGATCAAGCAGCCGTTATTCAGGCGGTTCAGACCGTTCTTCTGGTTACGGGGGCTTTGGTTCAGGAGGTTCAGACCGTTCTTCAGGTTTTGGGGGATTTGGTCCAGACCGCTCTTCTCAGTCAAGTGGAAGGAGCAGCTTTGGTGGGTTTGGATTAAAGGATCCTAACAAATCTTACTGAGAAGTGTTGGGCGAGTTTTGATCCGACCCGGCAATAATGGAGTTGGCCTATGAGTACTCCGTGACTCGAGTAGAGTTAGTTTACAAGGAGTCAAAGTTATATAGTATAACTTTGTATCTCTGCCTTCTTGCCTCATAAACAAACATAGTATTTTTTTTTTAAGTTTAATGTCATATCCTCTAATTTATTCTTTTTATTTATTCTGTCACTGTCGTAAACGTAAACCATTTGGCCATCAGAAAAAATGTATGATCCAAAGCAACTCTAGATTTTATATAATTTGGTTTTTTTCAAGTCTTCTCAATGATGCTTGTGAATGGTAGTTTGATATCTTCTGAATCATAAAACTGTTGAACTAAAACTTGAAATACTCTTATTTGTGCCCACGAGAACTTGGCCATTATACAATAAACAGTTCATAGAAATACTGAAAGGTTGTCGTAAGATTGAATCACATTGTCAACTGTTTGGTACAAAAGCATTTCTCATATGTTTCATAATTCTAAGCGTTCCATTCGCAAATACAGACAGGCTTTGCCTTATACAACATAACGATAGGTAACATAACGACCCGCGGTTTCACTCGGACGTATGATCTTCACGACTTGCCCACGTTTTAGTCCAAAGTATCTTGCGATCGGATCAGTCACTTGGATCCTTGGAAGCTAACAACAACCACAAAAGTTCCCAAACTTCAGTTACACAAAACCATAAGAAACAATGCTTCTTTCTATCTAGAAAAGCTACTAACCTGCGTCTCCTTCACGGTGTATCTCTCCAGCAAAGTTTTCTTCTCTTCAGTGGTAAGAACTTGATGCTCAGGAACAAGAACATGTTCTTTGATGTTCACTAGCATTTCCGCCTCCTGCAACCACCACCCAAGCACGGTTTTTTAGGATTGTGATGTGGATACATCATCAAGAGAGCAAAAACCAAAGCGTATTTTTACCTGAAAAACTTCCAAGTGAAATTTTGAGGAGATCTCACTTATGCAAGTTCGAGCAAAAGGAGTCAAGTTCTGTTGCACCACCAAAATTGCTCTGAAAACATTCTCTGATTTCATCCGGTTCGTGTACATCTTCATCGTCTTAACTCCAACTTTCGCCTCATCAGGGAAGAATATATAGAGCTACAACAAAAGCATGAATCGGAGACTTAATACGAAGAAATCAAACGCACGAAACAATCATGCTCTTAGCTGCCAACAAAAGAGTATCTTCATCAAATTCTAGTTTTCTTTAATACTTCATTGTCTACTTACTAAATGAAAAGTTTCTCTACTAAGTAAGCTTTCGTTTAAACAATGATTCTGGAAAAACGAATCACCTAAAGAAGAGCAGATAGCAAAAGTAAAGGGAGAGTGCATATATTACATTAAGAGACATACCTGATCATTGTTATCATTTCTCTTAGCTTTGAGAGTAACAAGATCCTCCCTTTTCATGTTATCGCCATGTTTCCTAATAAACTGTCCAAGGGTCATCGTAATTTCCGAATCCGCGATAAAGTAGCCACGATCCTTAAGCATCTGCATCAACGTCTTCTGGATTCTGTACAGTCTTTTGATTTCTTCTTCCGTTAAAGTCATCTTTTTTCACCGATAAACCTGCAGATATAATAACACACACATCACACTGATTAGAAGCGATTCCCCAAATCAGGGTATTCACGTCACCGGAATCAGCTCGGCGCAACGATTCCATAAACAAGGTTTCAATCCCTTGACTAACCTAGGTCATAATTTTCAAATTGACCGAAACAATTAAGGTTTTCTCAATCTCAATGGAAAGCGAGAAAGGATAATAATATTAAATGAATAAAACTTACGTCTAGGGACAAAACCCGCGGGAAGAGGATTGAAGAAGCAATTAACAGAGAAAGAGAGGAGCGCGAGGAAGAAGACGAAGAAGAAGCGGCGTTCAAGCTTTCCTTTTAAGCTCCAAACCCTTTCTCAATTCTTATTAAATCAAAAGGTTTATAGGATACGAAGCCCCAACTTATACCGAATTTCTGTTTTCGCCCCTAAACTTAATTCTGGAGCTTATAACTCTAAAGGCCCAATATGGGCCTATGCGGGCTATAATTTGGGCGACCCGACCCGTCACACCAACTTAAACCCTCTAAACCGGCACTGTTCTTGTTGAAGATCTAAACCCTTTGCTTTTTCTCTCTAAATCCCTAACTCCTCAATTTTGGGGTTTTACATTTCCTTATCTGAAAAAGTCTCACTCTCTCTGAACTCGAAATGATCACTACAGTACTTCGCCGATCTTGCCTTGATTCTTCAAGGCGGACTCTCGCCGCCTCTCTGACCTCAATTAATGCGGCTCTATTTCACCATCTTACTCCGGCCGCCGCGAGAGTCTCCGATCAATCCGCGATTGGCTCCTCCGATGTCAAGCCTGGCTTCGCCTTCCCTCCTCCTCCGACGAGTACGTTTGGTGTTAAAGCGAGGGAATTTCACTTTCATTCTGGACCGTCGGAGTTCAGATCGTCGATGGTTTCTCCTGCCGGGTTTGCGATATCTGAGAGTAGTGACAGAGGAATTGGAGATTCGGAGAGTGTTGGTAGCAGCAGCGCTGACGGGCTCGCTATATCTGAGCTTGGAATATCTCCGGAGATTGTTAAAGCTTTGAAGAGTAAGGGTATTGAGAAACTCTTTCCTATTCAGGTATGTTGTGAGATCAAATTGATTTTATACAGCTTCCGTATTCATGTTCTTGAATTTTGATTTGTGTTTGTGGTTGAATAGAAAGCTGTGCTGGAGCCAGCTATGCAAGGTCGGGATATGATCGGTCGTGCAAGGACTGGAACAGGAAAGACGCTTGCTTTTGGGATTCCGATCATTGACAAAATCATCAAATTCAATGCTAAACACGGGTTTGTTAACTTCCTGGATTTTCTACTTTGTGTATACAGTCTCTAACGATCATCTGAGGTCTACATTTCTGGTTAGTTTACTGATTTTCTTGTACTTCTTATGATGTGATAGACGTGGGAGGAATCCTCTCTGCTTGGTTTTGGCCCCGACAAGGGAGCTTGCTCGCCAGGTTGAGAAAGAGTTTAGGGAATCTGCTCCAAGCTTGGATACTATATGTGTTTATGGAGGTACACCGATTGGACAGCAAATGAGGCAGCTTGACTATGGTGTTGATGTGGCCGTTGGAACTCCAGGTCGTATCATTGATCTGATTAAGCGAGGAGCTCTAAATCTATCAGAGGTTCAGTTCGTTGTTCTGGATGAAGCTGATCAGATGCTTCAAGTTGGATTTGCTGAGGATGTCGAAGTTATATTGGAAAGGTTGCCTGAGAAGCGTCAGAGTATGATGTTTTCTGCAACAATGCCGAGTTGGATTAGATCACTCACGAAAAAGTACCTGAATGATCCTTTGACAATTGATCTTGTGAGTAAATCTCATACATGCTTTTGTTTGTTTCTGAAACTGCTCACAAGATTGATCTTGGGTTTAGCAGAGTTGTGAATGAGGTTACATTTTCTTTAGTGAATGATGTAATTATATGTTATCTTTGCCTAACTGTGATGTGTCGTATAGGTTGGAGATTCTGATCAGAAGCTAGCAGATGGAATTACGACGTATTCTATCATGGCAGAATCGTATGGAAGAGCATCCATTATTGGTCCTCTTGTAACGGTATGCTTTCTTTACTTCACTTGTAATTGATATGAGAGAGATAAGTATTATTCAGTAACAGAGTAGTTTATTTGTGTTTTTTTTTTTAGTTGTCAGTTGTGTATCAGTGTGTGGCAAGAGTTTATAATATCGTTTCTTCTGCAGGAGCATGCTAAAGGAGGAAAATGCATTGTTTTTACCCAAACAAAACGGGATGCTGATCGTCTTGCATATGGATTGGCGAGAAGCTTCAAATGCGAAGCTTTACACGGTGACATATCCCAGAGTCAGAGGGAAAGAACACTAGCTGGTTTCCGGGATGGACATTTCAATATTCTTGTTGCGACTGATGTTGCTGCTCGTGGACTTGATGTACCTAATGTCGATTTGGTGAGTCAAAACTACGCTAGTATATCTCTAAACAAGTTTTGTTCTCGTCTTATGAAAACTCATCTTTTTCATCTTGTGGGTTTGAATAGATAATTCATTATGAGCTTCCGAACAACACAGAGACATTTGTTCACCGAACGGGTCGAACAGGCCGAGCTGGAAAGAAAGGAAGTGCTATTCTCATCCATGGTCCAGAACAATCCAGGGCTGTAAAAATAATTGAGAGAGAAGTCGGGCTCCGGTTCACTGAGGTTAATATGAGCTGTGAATCTTCAACTACTATGTTTCTTTTTGTTGAATGCTTGGAGTAACAGTTTTTTTTTTTAAATTCGTAATGGTTTTTGAATTCAGCTCCCTAGAATTGCTGTGGAACGTGAAGGTGGAAGCTTGTTTGAAGGAATAGGTGCTCGATCTGGTGAATCCTTTGGGGGAGGCAGGAGAGATCGTGGTTCAAGCTTTGGTGGTCGTTCAGGTAGTGGTGGGGGTAGTGGCCGTTATTCTGGTGGTTCAGACCGGTCATCTGGTTGGGGGAGCTTCGGTTCAGACCGTTCTTCTGGTTTCGGGGGCTTTGGTTCGGATCGTTCTTCTCAGTCAAGCGGAAGGAGCGGCTTTGGTGGTCGTTCAGACGATTATGGTAGCAGCGGTGGCCGTTCAGGCGGATCAAGCAACCGATATTCCGGTGGTTCAGACCGTTCTTCAGGATTTGGAGGATTTGGTGGTTCGGATCGCTCTAGTCAGTCAGGAGGAAGGAGCAGCTTTGGTGGCTTTGGCTCAAACGATGGTAAAAGGTCTTACTAAGAAAGTTGAGCTAGTAGATTATTAAGGGATACGAAGGGAGACGAGCTATATATATATAAATGAAATCTGTAGTTATGTAATGAAAATCAAACATACTTTCTTTTTTAAGTATCATCATTGTTTCATACGAGTTTGAGTATCTGCGACTCCGTTTCTGTTTATGCGAATAAATCAAGGAAAACTGCAAAATAACGTCTGTTGCGGATTTGGTTTGTAAAAAGTCTCCATTTCGTGTGCTACAAGTCTTTTAGTCAAATCGTAGACGATTTTTTCGTTTTGTATAAAAAAATGATGCTACACTTCCGTAATTGCTATAAATAGATAGCACTTGAGAGAAGTTATAAAATGCCAGCTAAAAAGAAAAACACTTTGTGAAAGTATTTCCATTGTTTACATCGATCTTTGAATCTACACAATGATGATGAGTCGCTGTGGAGCCAAGGTGGTAATGGCAATGGCTGGACCAAAGCTCTTCTCTAGCAGCGCCCTAGTCCGTCGTGCCGTGTCTCACATCCATATTCTTCAGCCTAGCATTGCTCCGACGGCGAGAAATGTAAGGATTCCGGCGATCGGAGGCGTGAGAGATTTCAGCAAGATGACATTTGAGAAGAAGAAAACGACGGAGAATCAATCGGAGAAAGGAACAAAAGGTGGAGAGGCTGATCAAGGCAACAAAGGAGAGCAGTTAATCGTTAGTTATTGGGGCGTGAAGCCTATGAAAATCACCAAAGATGATGGAACTGAATGGAAATGGAGTTGCTTTCGGGTATATGGCATTTTTTATAATTGGTTTGTATTGTTACTCTTGCTCCATTTTATATGTACAATTGTGTGTGTGATTTGATTTTTTTTTTTTTTGTGTGTGTGGAATAATGGTAGCCATGGGAGACGTATAAAGCAGATCTGAGTATAGATTTTGTAAGACCGCGAAAATTCGATTGAAATCACGAATAAAAAATAGCAATACTATAAACGATACGTTAAGGTAAGAGATTAAAACGAGAGTTTGAAAACCGATTGAAAACAGACGAAAACACGGAGTCGAGATATGATCTCTTTCCTTAACTCAATAAATCACATGTAATGTGTGACGGTTTGTTGCAATTTTTGAATCCCAGGATACAACCGTGATGAGACTATTACGCAACACCCGTAATAGAATCTGTGAACTAAAATACTACGCTATAACTCTCGAGACACTTACGATATTAAGACGAGAGGGATTTGCTGTGTGTTTGGAGTATTCGAAAATTCGATTCTTAATTCGATGATCTAGAATGAGAGAAGAGAGCGTCTATTTATACTGGAAGGTTCAGCTTGATCCCCAAGGAATAAGCTTTTGCGAAAAAGAATATTACGAGATATTCTTCTATTTCCGCGAGTAAAAGGATTCGGAAATCTTCCGTTATTTTCGGAAATCTTCCGTTATTATCTGGACGCAATCTTTTATTTCAATATGCAAAAAATATTTCGCAGGAACTAAGAAGCCCACGACCCACACCCAGCTATATAGAGCCCAAGAGCCCTAAGAGCCAATTAAAAAATGCAACGAGCAACGAGCCCGAGCCCGAGCCTGAGCCCGGCACCGGCACCGGCACCGGCGACGGCGACGGCGGCGGCGGCGGCGGCGGCGGCAGCGCGCGTAGGTGTTTTTGCATAATGCCCTTTTACTTCCACAATGTTGTTGACCCTTATTGTGACAAGGTCATATTTATACAAGAGATTTTTCTCATTTGTGAGCAATGTGGGACAAATACACTTCCACTAAACTTCTACTTTTAGTTATAGCCAATAAGAACATTTCATTTCCATAGGCTCAAACCCAAATCTCAAATGAATTTATAAGGCTCATTTGCTTATTAAACTTCATTTCTTATTCACACACAAACTCAATATTACAAGTCCAAATGCTTATTAATATTGGGTTCCAACAATCCCCCACATGAATAGAAATGACTTTATACATATGCAGACTCGATAGACTATGCAGATTAGACTCAAATTAGACTACTGACTCGACAGACGGATTTTTCGAGAGTATAAGCGAAAACTAACTGTGTCTGAGGAAGTAGCGTTTTTCAGCCTTGAACTACTCATTGTTAATATCTGTCGGATTTACTCTCCAGGAAGTGAACATGATGTCTTGAACCACCCGGATTTTGGTGTAAACCAAATCAACAGATACAACCCAGCTTTGTCTTCTCATAGCATTCAGTTCTTTATTGTGTTCATTGTGGCCTTGAACGTGCCTGGTTTATCATGAGTGAACTTGGAGAGTATAGCCTTGTCTTCGTTCTCCTAGAAACGGCCTCATTTCACACTCACTAGGTGATTGCCAAGTACCTGTCACATACACAGAAAGTATCCTGTTATACTCTATATACATGTATATGAAGGCTATGGTCTTATCTCATTAAAAGCCATAAAGTTTAACCTTACATAATTACAAGAAGCACTGTTTATCATCATGGAAATTGAGCATTTTTCAGTGCTTTTCTCAGATTCTGTTTGATTTAGTTGTCCCTTTGAACCAACCTCTTGGGATCTCCAATCGCGTAGGTGGGGTTTCCATCAAACATCCTCTTTCGTGATAGGCAATAAGCCCATTCCCTTAGATGATTTAATGATTTGATCTCGCGGCAAGCTTTTGGTGAACGGATCCGCTAAATTTTCCGCTGACTTGATGTAATCAACCGTGAGTACACCACTTAAGATCAGATGCCTAATGGTCTTATGTCGTCTTCGTATGTGACGAGACTTGCCATTATACAGATTATTCAGTGCCCGAGAAATAACCGACTGACTATCACAGTGTACACGTAATGCTGGCACTGGTTTTTCCCACATCGGGATATCTTCCAGGAAGTTCCGAAGCCACTCTGCTTCTTCGGCTGCTTTGTCTAAAGCTATGAACTCTGACTCCATGGTTGATCGGGCCAGGAGTGTCTGTTTGGAAGATTTCCAGGATACTGCTGCTCCAGCGAGTGTGAAGACATATCCACTTGTGGATTTGGAATTTCTAGAATCTGAAATCCAATTGGCATCACTATACCCTTCTAACACTTCTGGTTCTTTACCAAAGTGTAGCCCATAACTCTTAGTGTATCGCAAATAGTTCAACACTCTAGTTATTGCTTTCCAATGAGTATGACCTGGATTACTTGTGTAGCGACTTAACACGTTTACCGCATGCGCTAGATCGGGTCTTGTACAATTGGTCAAGTACATCAGACTTCTAATTACCCGTGCATACTCCACCTGTGATACTGGTTCACCTGTGTTCTTGGTTAGGTGAACTTGCATATCCATTGGAGTTTTTGCGGTTCCATTCGAGTAGGTCTTAAACCTCTCTAGGATCTTTTCTTCATAGTGATCTTGAGACAGAGTAATTCCATCTGAAGTTCGAATGATCTTAATCCCAAGAATGACATCTGCAAGTCCCATGTCTTTCATGTCAAATTTTCCATTGAGCATGTTCTTGGTTTGTTGAATGATAGCTTTGTTACTGCCAATAATCAGCATGTCATCTACATACAAACATAGTAAGATGTATCCGTTTGGAGTACATTTGTAGTAGATGCATTTAGCACATTCGTTAATGCTGAAACCATTTGACATCATCACATTGTCAAACTTTCCGTGCCATTGTTTTGGAGCTTGTTTCAGTCCATACAATGATTTCACGAGTCTACACACTTTGTGCTCTTGACCCTTAACCTCAAAACCTTCGGGTTGTTTCATGTATATTTCTTCTTCTAAATCACCATTTAGAAAGGCAGTTTTAACATTTATCTGATGGATTTCCAAGCCTCGCAAGGCTGCTACACCAATCAATATTCTGATCGAAGTTATTCTCGTAACTGGAGAATATGTGTCAAAGAAATCTAGACCTTCTTTTTGTCTGAATCCTTGCACCACAAGGCGTGCCTTGTACTTATCTATAGAACCATCAGCTTTCAGCTTGGTCTTGAAGATCCATTTACACCCTAGTGCTTTGAGCCCTTGAGGTAAGTCAGTTATCTCATAGGTATGATTCTGCATTATAGAACTCATATCACTATTGACAGCATCCTTCCAATAAGGAGCTTCTGGTGTAGACATGGCTTCTGTGTAAGATCTCGGTTCATTCTCGACAAGAAATACCATCATGAAATCTTCACCAAAAGTTTTTTCCTTACGAGCTCTTTTGCTTCGTCTAGGTTCATCTTCAACCTGTTCTACTTCCATCTCATTTACAGAAGTAGTCACATCTCTTTCTTCACGAGTGCGTTTAGTAGTTTGCTTATCCCTATATGGAAATATGTGTTCAAAGAAAAAAGCATTCTTTGATTCCATGATAGTATTCACTTGGACGTCTGATACATCTGACTTATGTACCAGAAATCGATAAGCACTACTATTGTGAACATATCCGATAAAGATACAATCCACAGTCTTAGGTCCAATTGTGACCTTCTTTGGAGGTGGCACTGCGACTTTTGCTAAGCACCCCCACACTTTCAGGTATTTGTACGAAGGTACATTACCTTTCCAAAGTTCATACGGTGTTTTCCCAGTTACCTTATGAGGTATTTTGTTGAGGATATAATTTGTGGTGAGCAGTGCTTCCCCCCACAGATTCTGGGGTGTCCCGGATTCCTGCAACATTGCATTCATCATCTCCTTCAGAGTTCGGTTCTTTCTTTCCGTAACTCCATTGGATTCAGGTGAATAGGGGGCTGTAGTTTGATGGATGATTCCGTTTATCTGGCAAAACTCCTTGAAAGGTCCATCATATTCTCCACCCCTATCACTTCTGACCATTTTGATGGTCTTTGCCAGTTGCTTTTCAACTTCGAGTTTGTACTCTTTGAATTTGTCCAAGACTTCATCTTTACTACGCAGCAAATACACGTAACAGTACCTTGTACAATCATCAATGAAAGTCACAAAATACTTTTTACCACCTCTTGATGGTAGATATTTTAAATCGCACAGATATTACCAATAGGTATTCTTAGAACTCGAAAATAGGTGTTCCCAGAATCGTCTTTTGATGACGTTCTTAAATCCTAACACGTTTTGCGGGCCTGTCTAAGACTGCCGCATAAACCGTTTCAGAAGATTCGTCTTTAACAGATCAAAAGTTCTACGAAATAGCTAAGAAACTTACGCAGACACTTTGTAGATCGATTTTAAAAACTCGTTTTCTCAAAAACCGTTTATAAGAACTGTTTCGCAAAATTCAATCCGATTCAAGCGATAAGCAGGAAGCGGATTTATTGAGTTAAGATTGTAAGACCGCGAAAATCCAATTGAAATCACGAATATAAAATAGCAATATTACAAACGATACGTTAAGGTAAGAGATTAAAACGAGAGTTTGAAAACCGATTGAAAACAGACGAAAACACGGAGTCGAGATATGATCTCTTTTCTTAACTCAATAAATCGCATGTAATGTGTGACAGTTTGTTGCGATTTTTGAATCCCAGGATACAACCGTGATGAGACTATTACGCAACACTCGTAATAGAATCTGCGAACTAAAATACTACGCTATAACTCTCGAGACACTTACGATATTAAGACGAGAGGGATTTGCTGTGTGTTTGGATTATTTGAAAATTCGATTCTTAATTCGATGATCTAGAATGAGAGAAGAGGGCGTCTATTTATACTGGAAGGTTCAGCTTGATCCGCAAGGAATAAGCTTTTGCGAAAAGGAATATTACGAGATATCCTTTTATTTCCGCGAGTAAAAGGATTCGGAAATCTTCCGTTATTATCTGGACGCAATCTTTTATTTCCTAAGATTTATTCTTTCAATATGCAAAAAATATTTCGCAGGAACTAAGAAGCCCACGACCCACACCCAGCTATATAGAGCCCAAGAGCCCTAAGAGCCAATTAAAAAATGCAACGAGCAACGAGCCCGAGCCCGAGCCCGAGCCCGAGCCCGAGCCCGGCACCGGCACCAGCACCGGCACCGGCACCGGCACCGGCACCAGCGACGGCGACGGCGGCGGCGGCGCGCGTAGGTGTTTTGCATAATGCCCTTTTACTTCCACAATGCTGTTGACCCTTATTGTGAGAAGATCATATTTATACAAGAGATTTTTCTCCTTTGTGAGCAATGTGGGACAGATACACTTCCACTAAACTTCCACTTTTAGTTATAGCCAATAGGAACATTTCATTTCCATAGGCTCAAACCCAAATCTCAAATGAATTTATAAGGCTCATTTGCTTATTAAACTTCATTTCTTATTCACACACAAACTCAATATTACAAGTCCAAATGCTTATTAATATTAGGTTCCAACAGATTTGAAAAAGCACCATGTTCCATCGACTTTACCGGATAAATTAGCTTATTGGACGGTTAAGGCTCTTCGTTGGCCTACCGTTTCAAATGTTAATTTTGCGTTTGTTTTTCCTTTTACACGAAAAAAGTCCCATTCAAATTTAAAATTTTCAGTTTTCAAGTAACATTTTGCTCAACATAAACTTAAGCGCTAATTATACAAACAAAATGGCCAAATGGAATTTTAAGCAAGGGAAACATTCACACTTTCATTAAGATTGCTGAAAAATTGATGAATGGATTATGGAGATTAGAGAAGAAGATTATTCCACTCATTCCTCTGCAATTTTAGTAGATGAACATTTTCCTTTTATATATATATATATATATATATATATTTAACTCTTTTTTAGCAGAAAAGTGGAATTCTTTTTCAACTACTTATAGTCTTATATTGAAAATGGTAAAATTTCAGCTAAATCAAATTCGCTTGTTTATTCCTCTAAAAATACAACCACTTGAACCCAAAATTTTCCCTTTAAGTGCAGCGGTTTTGTGTTCAGAATCAACAAATTTGTTTTTTTATTTTGTAAAACACAAAAAAGTTTCTGGATTTATATTTTATAGTAACAAGTAAACAGAAATACAAACAAAAACTCGTCATTTACCATTTCTCCATCTACATTAGTTCCCATATTCACCATGATACAAGAATCCTGAAAAATTATCAAATATTGTTGTAGACTAATTTTTGCCAAACGATTGTCTAACGCAGAGGCGGTACGGATGCCAAGCGATGATGCTAGAAACGGTAGCAGCGGTTCCAGGAATGGTCGGTGGAATGTTGGTACACTGCAAATCTCTCCGGCGATTCGAACAAAGCGGCGGTTGGATCAAAGCCCTTTTAGAAGAAGCAGAGAACGAGAGGATGCACTTGATGACATTCATGGAAGTCGCTAAACCAAATTGGTACGAACGTGCCCTCGTGATCGCCGTGCAAGGCGTTTTCTTCAACGCTTATTTCCTCGGATACCTAATCTCGCCGAAGTTCGCACACCGTATGGTTGGATACCTTGAGGAAGAAGCAATCCACTCTTACTCTGAGTTCCTCAAGAAACTCGATAACGGTAACATCGAGAACGTTCCTGCTCCGGCCATAGCTATCGATTACTGGAGGCTCGAAGCAGACGCGACGCTTCGTGATGTTGTCATGGTGGTTCGTGCTGATGAAGCTCACCACCGTGACGTTAACCATTATGCTTCCGTAAGTGTTTTTGGTTATATTTTGATTATGTGAAGTTATATATATTTATATAGAGATGAAGAATTTAAAACCCTAATAGATGGTTGAAACAGGATATTCACTATCAAGGTTGTGAGGTGAAAGAAGCTCCAGCTCTAATTGGGTATTACTGATGTGATTCACTCTCATTTTGAATCACAAGAGCTTTCTAGTTTTACATTTGGCGCTCAGATCAATACGGTCCAGTTTTTGTTTTATTGGTTCCTAAATGGGCTTAATGGCTTTAATTTTAACCCTAATTGGACCAGAAAGTAAGCTTTATTTGTGCTTGTAGCTTGATAAATTATGCTCTTTTTGTGGGAGTCATAAAAAAATGTTTTTATTTCATTTTATTTGATGCTATTAATAAACAAGTGTTTGTACATTGGCCTTACACATAGACAGGTTGTAAAACTTTACAATCACAAATCATTATTTGACAAAATTAGTTTGTACATTGACTTTTCCAGTTTACATACAAAAAAGGTTTATTTGCTCATGACACAATAACTTGCCACCCTTAAAAATTCAGTTTTTTCAGTCTAGTAAAATTTAATATTTGAACTATCATTTACATGATCTAAAACTGGAAAGATTTTTCTGTTTCTGTGATAAGGTAATTTCAAATAAATCTGTTCAAAAGAACTTAATATTACAAAAAATTGAATAAATATTGATTTTTAACAAATTACTTCTACTTTTTAAGAAAAAGCTCATCTACTATTTTTGTTTTCAATATGTCCAATTTAAATTTTTGAAAGAATGCTAATTTTCCGTTTATTTTATTTTCCCCCGTGAGAAAATGATAAAAACAACCTTTTCTTCTTCTATCTTTTGGACAAAGTGATAAAAACCACCTAAACGCCTAATAATACCCACACGATAAACATTAAATTCGACCAATAAGATTTTAGCTCTTGGCCACCACGCAAGAATCTTCCAGCTTCCCATAACTGCTTGGTCTCCACGAGAAATCTACACCGCCTTTCTAAATTTACAGATATACCCTCAGTCAAAGCAAAGTAGTACCCAAAGTCTCTCTCATGTCCTCAAGGGCAATACCGTCATTCTAAATATACCCAACACCAGAAAGGCAGAAAACTGTTATACCCTGATTACCACGTGGCGCTATCTCCTTAGCAATACGTAAAGGATTTCGATCGCAGACCGTTCGTTTTTCCTGGTATATATATAAGCCCTGCTCGAGACCTTTCATAAACCAGCGTGTGAAACGCATAAGACGACAAAGTTAACCAAAAAAGAAAAAGATTTCTCCTACAATCTTCCTAAATTCTTGGATTATTATTTTGATAATTTCGCTTTTCATTCTGTTCATCTTTGCTTCTGCATCATGATGATGAGTCGCGGTGGAGCCAAGGTGGCCTCGTCGCTAATGAAAGCCGCTGGACCACGGTTGTTCTCGACCGGCACTGCGATCCGTCCGGTTTCGTCTCTCGAAGCTTTATCGGCGAGCCGTCTTTTGAAACCTCCGGTTGATTCCGGCGTGAGCGGGAGTGCTTGGATCTGGAGCAGAGCTCCGGGTTTCGGAGGCGTGCGATTCGCTAGCACGGTTACTCTCGGAGAAAAACAGGAGACGGAGGCGAATCCGAAAAAGACGGAGAACGAATCCGTCGGCGGAGACGCTGGAGGTAACAAGGGAGAGAAAGGAATCGATAGCTATTGGGGTGTTGAACCGAATAAGATTACTAAAGAAGACGGCACTGAATGGAAGTGGAACTGTTTCAGGGTAATGTTCTTATACAGAGTTTCGTTAACTCTTCGTTAATCTGTGAGTGTATTCGTGTAATCGTGTGTTTAATTGGAATTTTCTTCGTATAATCTCAGCCATGGGAGACGTATAAAGCTGATCTGACGATAGATCTGTCAAAGCATCATGTACCAACGACGTTTCTTGACAGATTAGCTTATTGGACTGTCAAATCTCTCCGATGGCCTACCGATATCTTCTTCCAGGTACAGCTTCTTCTTCTTCCCCTGACCACATCTTCCATGGAATTATCCCTTTCCATTTCACTAAATTGCATTTCCATTTTCGGAAATGGAAACTTCCAAATCTGATGTCGTCATTGATTGCGTGTAACCTTAAATATTTTATTTAATTCTCTTTATTTGGCAACTTGTCAATTTGTATTTCTTATTGCCCACTCTGTTCGTGCTCATAATTATTGCAATCTGTTATGTCCACTTGTTGCTCAAAATATGCAAAGAGTTTTGATCATCATGCGATCAATGACTCGTTAAAGCCAATAAGAAATGCTCTGTACTGATTGTGCCATTGTCAACGCAGAGGCGATATGGATGCAGAGCTATGATGCTGGAAACTGTAGCAGCAGTGCCCGGAATGGTCGGAGGAATGTTGCTTCACTGCAAATCTCTCCGGAGGTTTGAGCAAAGCGGAGGATGGATCAAAGCTCTTCTCGAGGAAGCAGAGAACGAGAGGATGCATCTCATGACATTCATGGAGGTAGCGAAACCCAAATGGTACGAGAGAGCTCTCGTGATCACTGTTCAAGGCGTTTTCTTCAACGCTTATTTCCTCGGATACCTAATCTCCCCGAAATTCGCTCACCGTATGGTTGGTTACCTTGAAGAAGAAGCAATCCATTCGTACACTGAGTTCCTCAAGGAACTCGACAAAGGTAACATCGAGAACGTTCCTGCTCCCGCCATTGCCATTGATTACTGGAGGCTCCCTGCCGATGCAACACTTCGTGATGTCGTCATGGTTGTTCGTGCCGACGAGGCTCATCACCGTGACGTTAACCATTTTGCATCCGTAAGTGTGTTGTTCTCTTCTTTGTTAAATGAAAAAAAAAACTAACTTTTCTTTTACTGATGAACATTGTTTACTCTGCAGGATATTCATTATCAAGGTCGTGAACTAAAGGAAGCTCCAGCTCCAATTGGGTATCATTGATTTCGATTGTATCTCGTTGAATAAGAAGAGAGCTTATTTGCTGAAGTTTTAAACTCTTTTCTAAAGAAATTTGAGAAAAAAAAAATGAAGTCTATGTCTCTTCTTCTTCGCTTGTATATATAGATCATATCTCTACTCGAGCCATACTTTGAAAACTGGTTCCTTGAATGTTATATTTGCTACTAATATTCTGTTTTTTCCTTGAAAGCAATGTGTACTTTCCCTTATTTTTTCTGTTTATGGGCTTTTGGGCTTTTTTGTTTTCGATTTATAATTTTTCGGCCTGCAATTTAGTTTATTCGTTTGTAACGTTATAGAAAGAGGATGATAATTTATTGAAGAAAATTCTGTTACTACTATACTTAGGGCATCATTATCCTTGATACCCCAAATGAGTTTCTTAATAATATTTTATTACTAAACATGGATTAAGAAACATTCTTAAGAAAATTAATGGTTTTAATGGTGCATTGCTAAAACCGTATTGGGTTTCTTATAAAAAAAAACTTTTTGAATAAATATGTTTTATTTATGACAAATATAATTATTTGATAACAACATTCATAACATTAAGAAAAAGAAGAAATTTAGTGTGGATTGAATATTCCTGATGTAGATGAGAGGAGGATGCGTCGATGAAATTTGGTTCTTCGTCGAGGAGAAAAACATCGGATGTATCGATGAAACTGTGTAAAACAAAGAGAGAGAATTGACAAATAAAACTTTTATTTATTTTTATTTGTTAAACCAATACTTTTATGTCATGTTGCAATAAGAAACACTTTTATTTGTTCCCAAATAAGGATCCCTTTATACTCATTTTCTTATTTTTTTGTTTTTTTAATTGTTTAAAAAATCAAGTGAGTTATTGCGATAATGATGCTCTTACTTTCCCATACCATGTAACATGATGGCCTTCTTGTCATAATCCTAATTCCTAATCTCCATCTTTAAAACACTCAACATAAAATTTGACTTTCAATCTAAAGGTTATAATTAATAATTAAAAATTCTAATTAAATATATGATCGACATTCTTAGGACGTTTAGATTGCTGCTACTAGAACTTTTTTTCTTTCTCTCTTTACGCATGAAAACACAATAAAAAGAGAGAACCCAGTGGATCCTTTATTTATGGCATGGGTCTTTATTTTCTTTCCGGGCCCCCAACCCTTTCAAATATAAAGTAAAAAAAGAAGTAAAAAAAAAAACATTATTCAAATAAAATTAAAATAACAAGAAGAAAACAGTCAATTATATAATCGAGAACTTTAATCAAATAAATATTATAATTGGGGTGATTATGTGTACTTAACCACTTTCTTTCAAACGTATCAGAGACTCTCTCTAATGCCACATTTTAATTATTTATATATAGATGTGTCCACTAAAATAATGGTACCTATCATGGCCATTCTTTTCCATCTAATACTATCTATCATGGCGAGTTTAGGTCAAAATAATAGCAATCGTAATTACCAATAAACTTTTTTTTCTCCAACAGCAAAATGGTAGGAGCAATAGCAAAGGGCTGCCACATACCTCTTCCCTCGTCAATTATCAAAACACAACAATAAATTATATATAATAGTAAATATTGGTATAAAATATTTTGAATATTTTGACTTTTCTATGTCTAAATAGCGCGAATTATATGTATAGATAAATAACAAATACGTCCTAATCAGTTGCCTAGCCTCTATCCATCAACTGTTTCTAATATAAAGTAATGTTTTATACTTCAACGATTAATCTAGTCCCACAGTATAAAATATTACTATTTTGCGGCATTGTGTACTTTCCTGCATTTTCTAGATTTGAATGATACGATTTTAATAAAGAAGAAACAGTCATGGTGCCATGTTCGCTGAATATTATTTTAAATGCCTCTATGATATCCAATAATATATTAAAACTATGATACGATTCAATTAACAATATTATATAGTTTATTATAAAAATAATTGAATACAAAGAGCTCGCAATTTTCGATATGTCTTAGTGCGTTAATGAAGGGATTTTTTTAAATATATCCAAGTATCTTCGCATACGACAAGGCATAAAAAATACAAGCATAATTTAGTATTGTTTTTTTTAAATATTAAAACTATTAAATAGGTTTAGTTGTTAAAATAAAAAATACAAGCACAATTTAGTATTGTTTTTTTTAAATATTAAAACTATTAAATAGGTTTAGTTGTTAAAAACAATTAAGTAACCTTCCGAAATTTTAGCCTAAAGAAAATAATCGCTTTATGTAATGTATATTGTCTGGAGAAAAATTTTCCTCTGACGGCTAGGGTTAAACGAACGATCAAAACAGTTGCCACGTTGGCAAATAACAATAACTCCAAAAACACCACGTGTCAATTTAACTTGTCATTATTAGACTTAATAGTAAGTATTTTCTACCTGATATTTTTATATATTAGTAGTCATCAGTGAGTTATTTTAAGAAAAAAAAACATTTTCGGTTCCTTCATCGACGAGTTAATTTTTTTCTTTTTGAATATTCATGAGTTTGTGAATATTATTAAGAGAAAAGAAATCGAAAGAAACCCGACAAATTCATTTGGCGGGACTCAACACTCCGACGTGGCATTTTCAGTGCTTTATATTAATTTAATATTTTTCAACTGTAAAGGAATCTAGGTGACCGCTCATCGACGAGATAACGTAATCTCACCACTCTCAACCTGACACGTAATCTGTAAACGCGGCTGTTACATATACCATCTATGAAAGGCCGTGATATTAGCTTTTCTCTTTTAACTCTTTCCTTGATTGTATCTATTGAGATATTTAAGTAAGAGAGAAGATCGAGGGCAACGAATTAAGAGAGAGCGTTTCTCCACGTGTCGCGATTGAAAACAACCACGTGGAATCTGTCTGAAACTACGTGGATTTCGTCGGAATTGATTCTGCACGCGCTTCGTAGCGCGTAAATGTTTTGTTATTAAATATGTGAATCTACTGTTTTAGTCTAGTTACTCCACTGTTATTAACTCTTTTTTTTCACTGTTGTTAATTACGAGTTATGAATCCTGACCATTGACCGAAAACTTGTTGGTGTTTCAATTACAAAATCTAATATTTCCGTGGGCCCCAGTCCACGTCAATGTCACACATCGCATATTTAAAAACCTAAAAAGCTAAGATTTAATAATGATTAAACATCGATTAAAAACATTTGAAAATCACGTTATTGGATTGTGAAGTTAAAAGTAGAAATCCTACCGTATTTTCTAGTTTCCTTTTTATCCCCCACGGACGATTTGCTGTACTCGTATATTTTAGGAGATGACGTTTTGGACCATGTCAGAATATGAAAATAGTGGAAGCAGCTATATAATACACCTTTTTGTTTAGTATGCTAAATACGAAATCTCAAATAGTAAAATACCAGGCGCAAAAAGGTAAAATACCAAAATATAATATATTCTACATACCAAAATGAAAATAGAGAAACAAGCCAACACTTGGGTATTTTCTTTTGGTAACATGCCAACTCGTAATTAGTTACATTTTATTTTTAAAATTCTAGAGAAAATGATTTAAAACAGTGAAAGAAATTAAAATGTGAAACGAGCGGTGACAAATAAAATAAAAAAAATAGAGAAACAAGCCAACACTTGGGTATTTTCTTTTGGTAACATGCCAACTCGTAATTAGTTACATTTTATTTTTAAAATTCTAGAGAAAATGATTTAAAACAGTGAAAGAAATTAAAATGTGAAACGAGCGGTGACAAATAAAATAAAAAAAATACTCCTATACAAGTGAAGAGGAGCAATTCCACATTGGCAGCTAAATAAGGGGCCCACACTTCTCGGAAGTTCCGTGACCGCGACTTGAGTGAAGAAGGCCCCACATGCATTTCCCTCACTTCTCATCTGAACCGTCGAGTGTTTCTAAAATGAACGGTTCAGATCAACCGGTCGGGTGCCAACTCATCACCTTTTTAGTTTTTTTACGGGATGACGCTTTCTGCCAAGTCATAGAGGAAATAATAAATCAGAAAATATCTAACGGCTGAGTGAGCATTTCGCTATTAGCAGCAAATGCTATCAGCCGTCGATTCGTAATTAATGAGTTGAATTATATTTTAGATTGCTGTGGGCCCTGCTTCCTTACTTTAATTGTTTTGCTCCTCTTCTCTAATAGAGTTAAAAAAAATCTTGTTATATCCATAAATAACTATGTATTTATTATTTCTAGATATTTACAGTAATTACCATTTGACTAAGCTGTCCATCTAACCTAGGAATTGTGTATGATGTATATGTTTCTTCTCAACTAGATTTGAGTATATCTGATAATAAGTTGGAATTATTTTCCTTTTATTATCAGATTCCAAGAATTTTAAAGTTGGAAAGATAAAAACTTAAAGTCGTAACTTTTTCAAACACTTCTTTAGCATCTATATTCGGAGGGAAAATAGGTAAACAGTATATAAATCAATAAACTAAGTAGCACAAAATAATTTTAAATTAATCGTAAAGTATAAAAAATAAGTACTGCCGAATAAACTATTAGCCATTTGATTTATTTGTTAAAACAAAAATCAAATGGGGCAAAGAAGAGAGGGTGAGAAGTGGAACCTGATATAAATTAATTTTACCGGTTGGCTCGGTGTGTGTTGGTGGTCACAAAGATTCCATTCTGATCGTCAGATTACCTTTACCAAGGTCTTTGTTTACCGGTAGTAGCCGGTCATACATCTTATCAGGACACATTTTGAAATTAAAATAATTAAAATAATATCATCTTTGTGCGTGTATATGTCAGTATTTTGTTTTCTTTTCACACGAGTCATCGCGATTAGTGGACAACAGTACACTACCCCAGGAGCCTTTTAACAAATATTTAATGCATTATATATTTAATTATTTTAAATTAAATATTATTATCTTTTGTTTGAGACTTTCAATATATATATATATATTATTGTTTCTTTATAAGTTTTTTTATCAAAAACTTATAGACATAACAAAGTCAATATAATATTGGTAGCGATAATATGCACGGAAGCGTGTGATGTCAAAATTTTGACACGTGGCAACTTAATGTTTAATAACTGGTAACAGCACAAATAATTTTTTCACATGAATCCGACTCGGAAATCGTATTAATAAAATTGAAATTAAATGTTTAACAAACAAATTAAAAAATAAATAGTTTTTGGTGTGAGTCCCACATAGGATGCTGACTATTATTATTAAAATAATAAAAGAATACGTTTTTGCTAATAAAATTTTTCGGTGGTAAAATAAACAATAAAAGAGGAAATATCGGTTATTGATGTGAGATCTCAATAATGGAGGGCCAAGATCTTGTCACGCTGGTATATAGAGCATCGGGACCGTTGGATGCATACACACCGACGGTGAAGATTAGGAAAAGGTTTTACGGCAGGAGATATGAGCCGTGGATTTATTCGCTACTGCTTTTATGAGGAGCACAAATAAAGGAGATAATGGGAAGCAAGTAGAGAGATAGAAAAAAAGAGAGAGAGAGAGAGAAGGAGAGGAGAGAGGTGCGATTAGGAGGAAAAAGAGAAGGAAGCGGAAGCAAATAGAGAAGATGGATAGAAATAGAGAAGCTAGAAGAGTACCTATGGCGGCTGCCGGAAATGGCTTGTCACGGCGGAGGCATAGAGCCGGAAGTTTCAGAGATTCTCCAGGTTTTTATCTCTTGATTTATTCATTTTCCTTCAGATCTGGGAGAAACTCGTTTGATTTTGATTGTTTTTTTTCTGTTTCAGAGGACGACGGTCCGGTGGAGCTACCGGAGTCGGCGAGGCTGAGAGATCGAGGAGGGAGTACGAAGAAGGATCGAGATCGGGAACGTGATAGAGACAGGGAGAGGGAAAGAGAAAGGGATATAAGGGAGAGAGATCGGCTAAATAGCCGGAGCAAAAGGAGAAGAGGAGAACGGTTAATGATGGTTCACGGTAATTTAGACGACGGTGGTGACGACAGCTCCGAGGAGAGTGTCAACGACGATGAAGAATTTGACGACGGAGGAGGCGTAGGACCACCGTCTTCGTTGAAGATGCTTCCACCGACGAGCAATATCTCCGCCGCTTCCTTTTCATCGTCCCTCTCAAATCATCACAACGCTAGCGGTAATCTCCACCACCACCACCATAACCACCACCAGAGGAAGAACTTCCCTCCAGCATCAAAAGTTTTCAGATCGCCTCCTTCTCCGGCGCCGGTATCACCTCTCGTTTCCTCTTGGAAGGCCGCGGATGAGATGATCGGTGTATCGGTTCCTAGAAAAGCTCGGTCAGGTAGAGAGGTGGAAATTACAGTATGAACGTATTTCTCGCGGATCAAAATATCTTTTCACAGGTCTTCTAATTTCTTCTTCTTCATTTTCTGTTTTCACAGCTTGTACAAAGAGACCGCATGAATCATGGGCTTCAAGTGCAACCGGCGGCGGCGTTTTTGTTTCCGGAGAGCAAATCCACCGGCAAGTATCATCGACGTCACCAGCTAGAGTTAGTCCGGCTTCCATTTTAGCGTCTCCGTCTCCTCCAGCTCCTACATCTCCATCTTCATCTAGCGTTTCAGTCAGGAAAAAGATGGTCAGTTTCCTCAGAATTCACTCAAATCTCCCTCTTCTTCTTCTTCCTCTCCAATCTCCATCTCTTTTGTTTTTTTTGACCAAAGAAATTTTTGTTTCTGATCTGAAGCCGTCGGGGACAAAACACAAGCCGCTCCCGCCGAAGTCATCGTCGTGCAAGCTATCATCTCCGGTGGCTGTTCAAGACGAGATCGAGATCGAGATTGCAGAAGTGTTATACGGCATGATGAGGATGCCTCTGGCTACATCGAAACAAGAATCCGCCGGTAACGATTTGGTCGAAGCAGGCTCGAAACCGACGGTAGAAGTCAAATCCAGAGTATCTTCACCGATCTCCAATTCCCAGACTGTTCTTCACTCTTCCATCACTCTAGCTGCGAATTCGAGCTCTTCTAATGTCTCTGCCATCGGTAAGTCACTCTCCATTAACAACGATCTGTTTTGATTTGCTTCCTTTGTTTTTTTTTTGAATGCTCACTTTATCTTTTATCTTCCCTTTTTCCAGCTCCTAAAAGAAAGAAGCCGAGGCATGTCAAATACGACGACGAGAACAGTTCTAGTTTACCGTCACGCGTCGCTGCAATTTCGTCAAACGTCAAATCCGAAGCCGAAGCTCCTTCGAAAAGTCAAGCTCCGTTCGGTGATCAGCTGAAGAGATCAGGCTCCGGCGAAGAGAACAGCTCCGTATTGGAATCGACCAATCCACAGCCGAGAGATAGCAACGCTTCGTTAGATTCGAGATCGTCTGACAAGAAAGAAAGTAATCTTTCGAAAGAGGAAACAAAATTGCCGAAAGTGGAACCTTCTTCAGGATTTAGATCCGATGGTGACGGAGCTACCATTTTAGGAGCTAAATCGTAAGCATACATTTTATACATTTTTTTGGATATTTTCCTAATATTGGTACTCAGAAGAATTTTTTTTTTTTAATCATGCAGAAGTTCGCCGGAGAAGGAGAAGTTTGAGATAGATCTGATGGTAAGTCACATTTTTTCTTCTTGTTTTTAATTCTAATATTTTTTTGGTCATTTTTAAAATCTTATCCTAAATTTTTTTTCTTATAATAATCGGTTAGGCGCCACCGCCGGTTAGATCGTCGTCGGAGAGAGGCGGTGAGATGGAATGTGTGGCAGCAGAAGCTAAACCTAAAGTCACGGAAGTGGAAACGGTGAGTGGGGCCTACTTTTGTTTGGTTACATTGTGATAATTGGTGATATTCATCATTACTTTTCATTTTCTTCTTTTTTGGCTCTCTTTTCTTATCTTGTTCCTTTTTTTTTATTTGGTCCCTTTTTTAAAAATTCTCTCCCCGTGTCACTTATGCATGTTGAAGCAGGAAGCAAAGCCTCTGCAAATGGAAGATGGAGGTGATGCGAAGATTCTTGAGTCTGAAGAGAAGAAGAGACCTAGATCGGTGGCAGAAGCTGAAACTCAAAAGTCAGAGAGGAATTGTGAACTCAAACTCGACTTGGATAAATCTGATCATGTGGCTGTAATTAACAAGCATCATGTTCAGAAACAGCCACCGCAACAACAACTATCTGTTCCCGAGAAAACAGGTAATTAATAAGCCTTTTCATCTTTCTTGAGTTTCCTTCTTTTTACTAGTTTCGGTCTTTTTTAATTTTAAATTTTTCTGAATTTTTCCAGCTCAACCTGGCCCTTTGCCGCTACATATGTCAATGCCTGGGTGGCCTGGTGGCCTAACTACAATGGGGTATGCTTTTGGTTATTTTAGCAAGTGAAACTTTGTGAAGTCTGTTCTTTTTTCCCCCGCTTGGACTAATTGGAAACTCTGTGATGAAACAGATACATGCCATCTACACAAGGTGTTGTCCCTACGGATAGTAGTTCCTTATCATCTGCGGCAATGCAGGTAATTTTGATTTAATTAGTGTTGTGCGTTTCAAAGAATCCTCTCTACCTTTTTTTTTTACTGATCTTAATTTTGATCTTGTGCAGCCTCCTCCGCATTTACTTTTTAATCAACCGAGGCCAAAGAGATGTGCAACACACTGCTATATCGCTCGGAATATTCAATCTCATCAGCAATTCACAAAGATGAATCCTTTCTGGCCTGCTGCAGCAGGATCGGCTCCATTGTATGGGGCCAAGGCCTGTAATCTTAGCCTCATGCCTCCCACAGAATTGCAAGGGACAGTTTTGGGAAGAAGCTCCAACCCTATTCCAGATAAGAACTCTCAATCTACTTCCAAAAGCTCAGATACCGCTCAGAGAAATCAAATATTGCTCCAACAAGCTCTGCCTCCAGGAGCAGCTAACAACATCATGGTTAGTTTTTTTTTTTTTGTCATCTCTAAACATGCTTCTCATATCAAGCTTTTGTCGTCCTTATTGCGTGCTGATTGTTCTTATATATTTTTTTTCTTTGTTTCTTTCATTGTAGCATGCTCCGACATTCATTTTCCCCGTGGGCCAACAGCCTCACGCAGCTGCTACAATAGCTGCCGCATCTGTCAGGCCTCCTAATAGTGGCAACACAGCTTCTTCTGGTGCGACAGCTTCTTCTAACTCGGTGAATGGTTCTGCAACAGCTACTCCAGCTGGTGCCCCAACAATGACCTTCAGTTATCCGGGCATGCCAGGCAATGAAACGCAATACCTGGCCATCTTGCAGAATAATGGCTATCCATTTCCAGTCCCGGCACATGTTGGTGCACCACCTGCTTATAGAGGAGCTCCTGGGCAGCCAATACCATTTTTTAATGGTTCCTTCTATTCCTCCCAAATGATCCAGCCACCACATCTTCAGCCACAAAAGCAGCAACAGCAGCAACAGCAGCAGCAGCATGCCGCTCAAATGCTCCAGGGCCATGCTCCAAGCAATCAGAATGGAAGTGTTTCCACTGGTTCCTCGGCAGCACAGAAGCATCTGCAGAACCAACAGCTGAGGCCACCGATCAGTCACGGGAATTCCCAAGGCTTTCCAGCTCACAAAGTTCAATCTCAGCCTTTGAGTTTCCAGCAGAGGCAGCAACCTAGAGAAAATGCGACTCAACATAGCGAGACTGTAGGAGAAGAAAGCCCATCAACCGCTGATAGCCGGGCTCCTCGTTCCAATGTTGCCTATGGTCAGAATTATGGTATGCAGATGCAACCAACCAACTTGGGTTTGATGAGCTCAGCAGCCTCAGGTGGTGGGGTGGTCGCATCTCCAAGCAATCATGGTGAAAAGAAATCACAGCAGCAGGTTTCAAAGGCTGGTGTGGAATCGTTTCCGTCTCAGGGTTATGCTATGACCTTTGCGACATTCAACGGGGCTAATAGTGCTCCTTCCCTGAACATGTCATCAATTGCTCAGAATCACGCTATGTTCCACAGCATGCCAGAAGCAGCAAGGCAAGGTTATCAAATGATGGCAGCGAACGTTGCTGCTCAAGCAGCCCAACAGAAGATGACTTACAGTGCTCCTTCAGATGATGGAAAATCTGGGTCTAATGCTACTGCCAATGCGATGGAGGAACAAAGGAAGACAGGTGGAGGAGCAACAGGGAAAACGAGTGGTGTGAATGGTGGACAGTCTATTGCTTTCTCTAACAAACATGACTTAGCTGATGCATCTGTTTCTGCGGTAACGAGTGGTAGCATCGTTGATACATCCCGTTTGCTCAACCTTGGATCTGCTCTGCCACAGAGTTCCAGTTCAATGACGACTTCTCATCACCATCATCAACAACAACAACAGCAGCAGCAGCATTTGCAACAGCAGCAACACATGCAACGGAGTCAATCGCAGCAACCTTACACCACCATGTATCTCCAGAAGCAACAACGGTATGCAACTTCAGTCGCTGCTTCTGCTGCTAGAACCAAAGGTCCCGTGGCTAATAACGGGAGTGGTTTCCCTGATCACAATATCACCGTCTCTCCCGCTGGAACCGCTAAGTTTTCAAATTCCAATTCAGGGTTTCCTCAGAACCTTGTCCAGTCAAGCAGCAGTCAGGTGCAGTCTCCTCAGTGGAAAAACAATTCACCCAGGACGACAAACACTTCCCAAGCTCAGTCTCCTTCCATGCTGTCGCAATCTTCATCCGTTGCTGCTGCATCGTCGCTAAGAAACGTGTCGCATAAACAGCAAGGCCGTCCTCAGCAATCGCAGATATCTTTTGCAGCGAACTCAAAACCTATGGCTTCTGGTTCACCAATGCAGCAGGTGCAAGGAGGTAACAATAACCAGGCTCCGTCTCCACCGAGGTTAGTTGGGTCTCCTTCTACGTCTTCAGTCTCCAAAAACGCGAGCGGAAGCCCAAGAACAACTGCTTCGGCTTCATCAGCGGTGAACAAAGCTGGACAAGCTTGCTCTGCTACTCACTCATCATCTCAGCCGTCCAAGAACTTGCAGTCTGCATCAGCAGCTTCTTCCGCTGGTGGAAGGAACAACGGTCCTTCTGTTCTCGGAAACCCAACCACGAGCTCTGGTTCCAAGTCACAACAACAACAGCAACAGTTGCCAAAGCATGGGTTGCAGCCGCAAGCCCAGCTATTCTTTTCTAATCCCTACATGCAATCTCAACATCAACATCCACAGCAGCAGATGACCATCTCTCCTTCTGGTGGCTATTACATTCAAAGACATCAGCAACAGTCAGGCTCCGCAGCTGCTAGTGCTCCAGTCACGCTCTCCGGCTGCACCACGGGAACAATCACTGCCACTTCAGATCCAGCGAAAGCCATCGCTGCAGCAGCAGCCAGTAACATGAAAGGAGGAGGTGGTGGTGGTGGTGGTGGTATGGGAAAGACGCAGCAACATCAGCTGGTGCCTCCAGGGTTCCCGTATGTTCACGCGGTTCCCTCTGCGGTTCAAGTTAAGCCTGTAGATCAGAAGCAACAAGCGGGTGAGTGAAAAGACACTCCTAAGGCCATTTTTTGTTTAACTTATAAAAAAAAACACTCTGAATGGTTTGGCAAGTTCCGGTTTATAGCTTGTGCTGGCGAGATGAAAGAGAAAGACTTTGGAGTCGGAAGAAATAAGCCAACGGAACAAAACACTCACAAGGGATGACAAATTTTTTTGGAGTTGGGAAGTGCTTTTTAAAGCATTGTGTACAATTAGTGTTTATATTATTCTGACAGGAACCAACGGTTTCAATTCCAAGAAAAAAAAAACCAAAAAGAACCGGAAACCACTGAAGTTCTTAGTTCTAACTTTTTTTTTAAAAAATATTATTCATTCTTCTTGACGAGGTTTGAGTGTCTTTGGTAGTCAATTTAGTCAGGAACTTAACATGAGCTAGCAAACGTATGTGTTGGCCTATTCCGTGGGATCATTAGTTGATGGATTACGTAGTTAGTGTTTTTAGTGGAGTTTATAATGGAGAGCATGAAACAGTATGATGAATTTATTGTTCCTTCTATTTTTTGGCTTTCTTGGCTTTGATTGGTAACTTTGCGGGATTGCGGAATTGCGGAAAAAATTTTGCGGAATAGATTAAGCGATTTATAAGTCGCTTTTCTGCAAAAAATGACTTTTTCTTTGTATTTTTGTTAAGTCTGCGTTTTTGTGTATATTTTTTTATTATGTGGATTTTTGTTTATTGGAAAAAAATCTGCGAAATTGTGTTTAAAAACGCAATTCCACCATTCTACAGTTACCAAATGAGAGCCTGTTTGCGGTCAGAAAATTGACAAATTGTGGAAATTGAAATGATCTTCAAACAGATGGAGATGGTAAAGGCCCCACGCGTGCAAACTTTCTAAAATCTGTATACAACCTTTTGCCAAATTAGCACCTCTAGGTTTTATTTTTTACATTTTCCCTATTTCCTTTGTTCCTTTTGCAGTTTTTTTTAATATATATATTTTTAATGCAATTTTTTCTTTGTCCGTTTCTTTGATCAAAATCTACCACTCATAATGAAGGATTTTGGAGTTTTGAGGAAGTGGTATTAGAATTAGGCAAAGTTTGATGAAGAAGCGTCAGAATTTTGGTCAAAGCAATAGAGAAAGCCATTTGGGGGATTTGATTTCTTACTGTGCCGTACGATGATTTATATGATTGTATCTCATATAAGTGACAAGTAAAATCGAATATAAAATGCATGTAAACGTTGTAAAGGCACCGACAAAAATTAACGTATTTTCTGCGTCATGTGCGGATTTTATCTAATTTTATATTGACATAAATGTCAGTTTCTACAAAATATATTTGGTTTTACAACTAATGAATGAAAATGAATGAATATAATAAACGATTTCTTTCTTTTTTCTAATAAGGAATGTATCTATATCGTGAATCATGAAGTTAAATCTAGATATAATTATTAGAAATGTCTAACGGAACCAATCATTACTTTTTTTCCTTAACCATCTCAAGATTTTGGATTATCTGCTCTCTATATACTCCTATTGTCAAACTTTACAACTTTACAACTTTTTTTTTCTTCTTTACTCGTTCTCTTTTTCTTTTCTTTTGATTCTTGCTGTTTTCTCTTTTAATTTACTATTTTGTTTGGACACTATGACCGAGAGCCACAAAATCAAAAGTGTGGGTCCCGTGAGCTAATAATTAAAACGTATGGGGTTCAACTTCAAAATCTCGAAAAATGTAAGGGACCCACATGGCAAACTCCAAATGAGCCAGCGGTCCACTGTTAAACTTTGTGGGCTCAGACTTAATTAATATTTGTCTCGTGGTTTCTGGCCCAGTTACAGTATACCGAATATACCTTTTTATTTTAATGTGTGTATATCACAGAAAATCTCCGATTATAAAAATCTTTATATGACGACAAAAAAATAGTAAAAACAAAATCTTTATATGAGGGCAGTAACATTTCCTCCAATAAGGCAATATTTGTGTTTTTTTTTGCCACTACCAAAGAAAAACAATGATTTGTATTCATTAACAAATATCTAAGTTCTGTGACAATTTATTTCCTTGGTGGTTGAATTCAAATGTAATTTACGTAAAGACTTTAGGCAGTCATCAAATCGCAAATCTTGTGTTTGGCTGTGTTTATAGCTTTTAGCTTTGTTTTTATTATTTATCGTTTTTTTGGTACATTTATGTGTAATATCAATCTGCTGTTTTTTTTTTTTGACTGTGAGTCTGTGATCATCACCAACTTTTAGTCTATATATGCTACTTTTACATATTACAACATCATTGGCGTTAATTTCCTAACTTCAATTATAATAATGGCATTTGAACTAATGTATTTAGCATTTTTCTCATGAAACTATGGTAAATATTAGTTGTGATATCAACCGGAACATAGCCAAATTTTACCAATTGGATAACTTTTAAACAGACGCTTTCTTAAGAGTAGAATACCTAATTTCTGTTGTACATTATTCAATATCACTAAAAATTTTAAAAGTTGAACATGATTTTATTATCTAAACAACCTCTTACTCAATTTTTTTTAAAAGATTGTAAAAAAAAACAGTCACCAGTATAATCTACCTTGTCTAACAAAGAATAATATTTTTCTATCAGTTTGATCCAAATTTTACTTTGTGTAGGTACATTTTGCTCAACTTAAATATTACAAATTATACAAATTGAAGTAAAAACAATCAAATCCAAAACATTTTTGGCAACCCTTATAAAAACTAGTAAAACCTTTATTTTTGTATAGGATAGAGGTTCGAAATCGAAGAAACTACTTTCATCTCAAACTCTTTAATGAACTCAATTTTTCAAAGCAAATCCTCTATATTGGAAGAAGCTATGCAGTTTGTGAGTACCGCATACACCAATCTTTGAAGATATACCTCACCCAATTGTTTTGTACTTGGGAATGGTGAATGTTACAATGAAGTACTTCTCTTGCATGAGAAACCATGTCTTTTGATAAGCCAAAAAGCAAGGATCACCAAGAATTCATGATGTAGATTCACGCAATAGACTGCAAAAATCAGGTTTGAACTAATCGAAATCAGATTATGATCAACCAAAGTCAAATTTCAAAGTGCTCAATTTCGGATGAAGAGAGAGAGAGAGTCAATTGAATTAGCTAGAGTCAAGTAGCAGTCTTATGATTTGATAATCAAGGGTCGGTTTACTCTGGACATCATATCGCTCAATCACATTTTAACAAAGAAAATAAATGTTAGTAAAACATTTTCTTTTAGAGTTTTAGTAGATCAAATAAGTTTTTATCTTTAGTACTTTTTATAAATTTACAATGTTAGACAATCGTATGAAAAAAGATAAGCACACATTGAACAAAGCTCACTAGCTATTTTAAATTCTTTTCTGCAAATCAATGACGCTATTTTTTTGAGCACAAATGGAACACTATAGCTAGTGGAACATTTTTTTGGTTCAAAATGAAATCCCTGATCCTGACTCCTGAGTAGGTCGAACACAAATTTTTTAACTGAAATTGACTCTCTTAGTTCTGGCATAATGATCCACAAAACAAAATATGTTAAAAATTACACTATATATTGAGATAATTAAATGCTTTTTCTAATATTTTTGCAGGTAATAAAACCAGAACACAACTAGAGAAACCAAAGCTTATATATTTGAAATAGGAGGAACAGTTCATAGGCAAAGGACATTATTAGTTCTAGTATGAGTCATCAGGTAACCACTCAAAAGTAACCCCGATTAAGACCTGTTAAGATAATCAAATATAGGCCCAAGCCCATTAACAAACGTGAGACAGCTATGTTTACCCTTTTTCTTTACCTTTTTCTTTATTTCTTCAATTCTAAATCTCAATAAAATGCGAATTTTTTTTTTTGCTTAATCGAATACATTTTGTGTGCATCAGTGCATGTTAGTATTAGTAAGTAGTAAGATTAGTACGCCATGTCTCTTATCTTATTTTGTTTTACTATCTTTTACTAAGATAACTGTTTTTGTTATACAGTAAGTGAATCAATTCATAAAAATGAATTGGCTTTGTGAAAAAAAAATGTTTATGTTTTGAAATCTCAGATAAAAAAAAAAATCAGTTTCAAATGACCAGCAAACATAGCACCAACGACTAAAATAAAACATCTTAAAGATCTGATAATGCTGTTAAGTAATCACAATTTGTTATAACATCAACACAACGCATATATATATATATATAAGAAATACAAATGAAGAAGTCAAATAGCGTAATACTTACAAGCAAGAACCCACCTCTGTAAGATACTTTAATATACAGTAAAAACTCTATAAATTAATAATGTTGGAATTTTGGTATTTTATTAACTTATAAAATTATTAATTTATAGATTTCTAATAAAAAATATTTTTTATTTTTTTATTAATTTTAAAAGAGATTTTTTAAAAATTTTACTTTTAAAACATTTTTTTCTAAAATTAAATATGAGTTACAAGAAATTTAAAACTTAAAATAAATAAAAAATTTCACTAAACTCATATTTTAATAGATTATCTCACTTATATATTTATATTAAATTTTATTTTTATTAATTTATGATATTAATAGGACTATATATTTATATAAAAATTTTGTTAAAATTATTATCTTATTATCTTATCGATTTGTAGTAAATTTTGAACTGATCTAACTTGGGACCGGAAAAATTTATTAATTTATAGAATTTATTAATTTATCGAGTATTAATTTATAAAGTTTCTACTGTACTTGACTCGATGAAAGATATTCAATTGATGTAGTGAAAGATTGTGTTTGTCAACTTCAGATTCTCTAGCTCGGCTTCAAGGTTCTCACGCAGAGCTGCAAAAGAGCTTATGTTGTGGTTGAGACGTTAATTTCAAGTTTAAGAGCTTATGGAAAACTATTAAAAAATCTGTAATCTATCTAAGATTATTGGCTTGTGTTTGATCAACGGATAAACAGTTCCTAATTGCGAATGGTAAGATAGAAAGTAACTCTAGAGCTATGATTTTTCTCTACATTGTGTAACAAACTAATTGTGAATATATTCACAAGCCTAATTGAATATGTGAACATACAAATCGAAGGTCATAAACAATTGAGATGATGAAACCTTAATCAGAGTCTTTAAGGGATCATACGTTGAGCAAATATCACCATGAAACGGTTAACAAATAAATCTAAATCGATGTACAAAACAAACAAAAAGGTTACGTACCGAGATATGTATCCTACTAATTGTAAGAGTCATAACAATCAGTGCCGGACTAATCATTTTGACTGCCCTAATCTAAAATTTAAATTATGCTCTTTTCTATATTTTTTTTTAAAATAAAAAAATTAAAATTTCATAAAATATTTCAACTCCATAAATAGTTTATTAAAAATATAAAAATAAAATAAAACTAATATTTTATTATTGAAATA